TGTTCAGAAACTCTTGCGCAGTAATTTAATCATTGGCAGAAGAAGGCATTGAAGAATCAAAAGTGACATTGCCAACTTGTCACAATATTACAATAGATGTTAGTGCAAAGTGCCTTCTCTTTTCAAGTACATTTACACTGACCTATGAAATTAAGATGTAGAGAATAGTATGTTTGATGGGAATTACCCATCTTGTCCAAAACATGAATTGTCCAGCATGAAATAATCCCCTGGTTCCTGAGAGCAGTAAGGTAGTAGTAGACTTATTTCCTTAGTCTGATGTAAATGACACCACAAGAGGCTTGATTAGCCAGCTCTGCTGTTGCCTTCACCAGTAGTGTTCCAGTACTGGGTCTTAAGGATTTCCAGGCAAAATTTGTCAGATTAATGAAAACTGCAATTCAGACTGTAAGAAAATAATTAACTAGTGAAAGTGAGGTAATACAGATTGCTTTTTGTGAGCAGACCATCGTTAAATATCTTCATGGACATCCACAAACATTTAGTGGAGTCAGTTGTGTTACAGCTTTAATTTGTGATGGAAGCAGATTTTACTCACTAGAATTCTCTAGTATTTTTGAGTTTATGTGCAGGTAGTTACCAAGAGGATTAAATAAATTTAGCATCTTCAGACTTTGGCAATTGTTGCAAAGTACATGGAGGTTGAGATGCAAATGAACACTTGTAGCTGAAGCTGTGTTTTACTATTATATGAAATGCATGACTTTATGAAATAATGCCATGGATATTGTATTAATTGCTTATGTCCATACCATTCTTCTTTATGGTATATAGGATTTTTAGCATAAATAACATGACGCTTTTGAAAAACAAAAGTCTTCTCAACTGGAAAGTCTTGTTAAAGGCCACTATATTGATAGGAGCTGTTTGTAGCGTTTTGTCGTGTCTGAAACATCATACCAAGTTCCTTCACCTTTTGCAGGCTCTTATGAAGAATCTGAAGAGGAAGCTGAAACTGTCAGCAGACCATCCTTTGATTTTGAAGATGATGATGAGGAACAGTACTGAATAAAATGGTACTCAGGACGACGTGTAATGTCCCATTGTGTTATAAATCCTTTTCTGGAAACCATGCCTTTTTCAGTGTTGTTTCATGGGCCAAAAATCCCAATTTAGATTTGATTCTTTGTAAAATACAGATACGTTTTGCCTTAAAGGGTGGTTAATAGGTATGTGTAGGTAGTGTGAGGAATGTTATAGTGGTTGTGGGTTTTTCTTTATCAAAATTTAAACTTTTCTTTTTTTTGTCTGTATCATGATAAATTTGAGTGACTTCATTTTCATGCCTTGTTCATTTCATTCATTTATAATGGTAATCCACAACAAGTTACTGTATACCATGAGTGCTTTAAATACTTAAATGTAAAGTTAAAACTTCCTGTTTGGGAAGAAGACTCTGGTGTGTTATGTCTTACAGATGCAAGCAACTGTCATTGGTTTTTGTAGAGGAATGCCTTGTTTTGAATTCACTTGTGGTTTGAAAGTGTCTAAAAATTTTCAAACTCTGCGATGTGTTTTTCCTCTCAGACCTTTTATACTCTAATGCATCTGTTTTCAAGTAGGCCCTTCTTGTCATGAAGGGTGGAACAGGGCAGGAGGCCAGAGGTAATGACATTGCAAGAACCAGGAAAGATTATTGGAAAGAGTTTTGGGACATTTTTGTTTTTTTCACTATTCACTTTTTCGTTATAAATTAAGATAATTTACATAATTCACATTTATACTGCAATTCTAGATTTACTTTATGTTTAATAGTTAATCAGTATGTATTTGCCTTGACTTACATTTTGATGAAATTGTTGTTTTAAGATTAATAAAGTTAGATGTTCCTTCATACTTGCCTTTTTGTCTTTTATAATGTGTCATTGTCAGTACATGTTTTGTTCACAAATGTGCAGTCTTTTGTTGCCCAAATGGTTTAATTTTATAGCTTAACAATTTTCAGTTGTGTGCTCATTCTACTTGGGTTTGCTACAAAAATTAAGGTATGTGCATTAAACTAAGACATCACTTTAAAAGAAATATGATTCAATGTTTCATTAGTTTGAAGACTAAGTTATGGTATACAGTAAAATCAACAAATCATAAAATTCTTGAACCATCTGGCAAATATTTGTACCGTCTAGCAACATTGAAACATTCTTGTAAGATTGCAGTAGCAAATCCCCTTTCAAAGATTTGGAAGACTTGTTTAAATAATTGATTAATCAAGCAAGAAATGTTCCAGCGAAGAATCACTGGTCATTGAGAGCTGAAGAATATTTAGATTTTTTCCAAATGATCTCTACTTAATTGAACAACAGGTTTAATTGATAAGTTAAATTGTTCCAGGCCTTTAAAAATGGATGATTTAAAGGCTGCCTATAAAATGTGCTGGATTGGGGTTCTCTAAGAGTGGGTCTGGAGATCCCTGACCTAGTCTGTTTGGTTGCTAGTACCTAATTTATCCAGTTATGCTACCCAGCCATTTCTTGAAAGAAGCTAATATTTCAAGGCTTTAGCAAGCCTTTATGTAAAGAAGTAATTCCCATTCTTAACTTAGTCACTACTGTGCAGATTCCACTTCTGTCTTCTGAGCTTCACTTGATTATGAAATCGTCTATTTATCAGTGCTTTTGAAGATGCTGGATATGTGAATCAGATTTCCCGTGAGTCTACTCTTTAAAGACTAAAAAGGTTCAGTTCTTTTATCCATTACTTGGCGGACAGAATGTATCTGCAGTTCATGTTTTAAAGCTGTTCTTTACATGTGAAATGACATTAGTCCATCAACAGTTTCGGTTAACAATTTAAGGTTCAAGTATTATCACTGCCTAAGAGCATACTAAGGTTCTCTTTTTTTTTTAAATACTTGGTTCCCCTGAGAAAGTTGGATGACCTCTGGGAACATGGAGACCGCTTGTATGGGCAGGAGATTCATCGCAGATTAAGGCAATAACGGTGTAATTAAAAGTCTAAAAACCAGCTCTTTTCCATGTCATTTTAATTTATCTTATTACTTAATATAAAAATATGATATTCTCTTTCTATTGTGTTAAGGTACTTGATCGTATGTTGCATCACTATTTAAATGTAAATCAATTCACTTAAATAGTTTCGTGAATGGAAAATTATTTGATCCTTTCCGCGTTTCCCAGGAATAATCTGGGCCTTTTATCACTGAAGTATTATACTGGTGTAATAATTCTTTAAATTTATATAGTTCTTATCTGGACACTTCACTCAAAGAGGTTTACAGTTCACGGGGACTCCCCTCCACCACCACCAATGTGTAACCCACTCTGGATGATGTATCGCAATCAAAGCGCACCAGTATGCTCCCACACATCAGCTATTGGGAGGGAGGTGATCCTTGACAAGTTTTAACAGTGTTGCTAATGTAAGACAATGCTTTATTATACACTGCAGAATGTGCATTTTTTAAAATGTTTTAAAGTTTCCTGTTCCCTAGAGCTCCTTTACATTAATGAAATTAATGATAATCCCAGAAAAAGAAAGGAAAAATAGTTACAGTTCTGTGAATCTAAAAATATTATGGAATATTACTGGTAGTATTTTTATACTGTGAGGCTATGGTTATAATATTCATCGAACCCCACCATGAAAACACTGAAAAATGTGCAAGAGATGGGTACAGTAATGCATCAGCCTTCCTAGCAATGTAATAGATAATGAAGTAGGGAAGGTTGGAGAGAGAGACATGCAGATAAGGGAGGGATCTTGAACAGCTTTTAAAGCGAAACCTTTTAACCCTTAATACTTAATACTTAAGAAATATAATGTTCCATTAAGTCCCCACATGAATGTAAGCCGTAGAAAATGGAAGCAAATGAGGTGGAGAAAGCAATGCAGAATAGAGGAAGGCAAGTGAAAAACCTTTATAATTAAAAAACATTTCAACCTAAATAAATTTTTATTTAAGGTAATTTTACATTGACTTGCTACGTTGTGTTACAAACAGTTTGCACTGGTAGTAATCACTGTTTTTTGTTCTTTGGCACAGCTTATGCAAAATGCTTGAGGTGGAGAGGCAAAATCAGAAAAGACCAGCAGACTACAATAAACAAGTGCAATTGACAGCACAGTGATTAAAAAGATACAGAACACAGCGGAGTATCAAAATATAAATTGGATACTTGGGATTCCAAACGGCATTTGGGAAAAAAATGCTTTTAAAAGATGTTAAAATAGTTCTTCAATGTTATAATGAGGAATATTCCTTTTGTACATCGGAAGTCATAATGTCACTTAACAATCACGAACCACAGCCAAGTGTGACAAACAGAAGCCAGCAGCAGCCTTCTTATTCTGTGCACAAAGTTTCTCATTATATCTCACTAAAAGAGCAAAATAATGAGGAATGGGTGGTCGTAAATTCCACTAAAATGTGTGTCTTGTGTAAGGGAATTGCTCCCTGTAGTGGTTGTTCTAACTGTTCCCAGAAGAACAATTTCCAGAGCTGATTAATTATTAAACCCTTTTTAATAAGGACTTCCAGCTTCTTGGGTGATTGTTCATTTACGCCGTGTATTCTTTTTCTTCTGCTTCCACTAAAGAAGTCTCATCGCCAGACGGTGATCTAAATGGAGGGTGGTACTCAAATGATGTAAACGAAGTGGAGCTGAAGTAATTTTTCTGATGCAAGAACCAGACCACAGCTGATATCCCGATAATGATCAGAACACTCAGAATAACTAGTGCCGAGAACAGAGGTCGATTATCTTTACCTGAAAGGGACAAAACATTTTTTTTAAAAGGATGCAGTTCAAAAGGATGTCATCATTGTAGACCCCACAAACATTATGCACTTAGCCAAAGGAAGCCTTTAGTACAAACTGTTTACCCAAGTCTTACAGTGACCTTAAGGCCTGAAGGCAACTAAATTTAATTCAGCCTTAATTTGTGATTTATTATACTTAAATAATCTGGTCCACTGCATATATATATATGTATGTATGTACAAATGTGAGATATAAATATTTTCTGAAAAAAAGTACCTGTAAAACTTTGAGACCAGAAAGAAAAAAAAACACAATTTGTCTATTTTATCACATACTGTACAAGGTAAATAACATAATCTAATAAGATTTCCCAAACTGTGATGCTGACTTTCCTGAGCAAGACTTTTAAAGCACTTTCAGAAAACTTCACAGAACATTTTAGGGAGATTGGAAACCCTGTTATACAAGAGGCCTTGATGATAACTATTAACCGAGCTTGTGTTGTTAACACACCGATAACCTTGGACCAGACATTTCTGAATACAAAAAGCATACTCTTACTGTTACTCTGAGTGCTTTCACAGACAACACCGTGTTCAGGGTCGTCCTCACAGCTCACTTTCACCCACTTCCCTGAGCTGGTGTGTAAGGCCGCACAGACATCAATCAAAGCCAGGTCTGTGGAGCTATTGTCCCAGTTGTTTAAAACTACATCCGTTTTATCAAACCACTTCAGAGAATCACCTGCTCAGAGAAAAAAGGGAATGAGTGCACTCTACATAAAAGATCCACTACAAAAATGACTGTGCCTTTAAATTGTTTTGTTTTTTCTCCCTACAAGGTCACTGGATCCCCTGTTTATCTGGTGCGTGGAATAAGATAAAGGAATGCAGAGGCTCAAAAAAAGGCCTTGATTTTCTGGAGCTCATGAAATTGATCTGGAAACAACAAGCAGCTGCTCTGTCAGTTTTTTCACCAAGATAGAAATGCAGTTTTCTTTTATGATGTCTTGGGTATTGCCAAATGCATGAGGAGTAAAGTAACCACTATTATATCAAATTTGAAACAACAATAACAAAAAGAATGGTACAGTACTTTACTCATGAAGAAACATATGGTCCACAAATATAGAGGTTATTTTATTCCAAACCATAGGTAAAATAAGGGAAAAAAACAGTAATGGGTATATCACCTTGTTTAGAAATATCTGACCTGGCACATGAGATTAGGTTCAACATTACTCTGTTTATAACTGGTTTTATTTTTTGTACTGTTAAAAATTAGATTTTTGTACCTCGTGACTATCGGGTAGATAATGAATGCAAGGAATGACTTGCCCATCCTTTAGGGTATTGGTACTACTTGTGGCTTAACATTAGCACTTTCAGCTTAGCACTAGCACTTTCTGTGTGTTTTGATCCAACCGAGCTTCCAAATACTTCACTGACAACTAAGTGAACATAAGAATGGTTACAAAGAGAGAGAGGCCACTCATTCGACCTAACATATTTTGTTTCCAATAGCTAAGTGATAGGCATTTCTTTAAGTAAGTCATGGTGTCAGCTTTGCCAGTTTTGTAGGGTAGCTTAACTCCCATAACCTTACTATGTTTCCACTTGTGTCCTCTGGTTCATTTTTTTAATGGTTGATTCTGAAGACCTTCAATAGATTGACACTGTAGATAGCCTTAAGCATTCTGAATGCTTAAATCAGGTCTCCTCAAATTCTTCACTGTTCAAGTTTATAAAGATAGAGTTATCCGAGACTGAGTAGGATATTCCTTTTCTGGGAATAATTCCAGAGCCTAAAACCTTTTTAAATTGTTATCAGATAAAATCACCTAGAATGAAACCCAGAGAACACATGGGTCCCCAGAAATTAGGTCAATTTCAATAAAATAAATTCAGGAAGTCAAAAAATAAAACTACCCACACGGGAATACAAGGACATCAACCATCTTAGTTTCAGTAAGAAGGCCTTGATCTTACGTAATGTAAATTGTGTTTTCTATAGTACTGTTTTCCAAAGAACATTAACTTCCTGTTTTACACAAGTCTCATTCAACTTCCTGATTTTGTGAAGCCTCGAAATAAAATTATTTTCCGAGTTGAAAAGGCACAAAAGCAATATCTAGAAATTACAGGCTGATACGAAATTAACTTTTTTTTCCCTTCAAAACTCCATTTTCTGATGCTTGTTGACCTCAACCTTACCAAAATAATCCCTAAGTCCTCCCCTGAGACCAGAAAACAAAATCCAAACAAAACAAAACTACTTGGTGAACTGAGCAGGTTCAATGGTAAAAGAACCAAATCAGAAATGAACCACTAGTCACCTGTTCTGCTTGTTCTAATCAACCTGGGACATATCAAATATGGGGGAAAGGGAATTGAAAAAACTAGATAAAAATAAATTAAAACAGTTTTCTGAACAAAGTAATGTGTGAGTAAATTACACATAACTTGCATTATCACTAACCCTTCCAGGTCATTTAATACTTTTTCATATAGTAATTTTCATTAATGTCATTTAATGTTTTTTACTTACTGTCACTATCATAGAACATGCCCAACCACACATTTATTTGGTCTTTCCACACAAAGGAGCTGTATTTAACAATGAAATTATTCTCTTCAATAGTGTTGATGCTCAGAAGACCTGTCAAGTAAAATTTTAGAAAATAACATATTGCCAAAAAGAAGGTTCAGTTTTCTTCAGTTAATATTGCAAATTTTAAAATAATCAACTAATCCTGAAAATTAATTCTATAATTCCAAATCTCTTCATAACAGAATGTAAAAATTGTTCTTAGATTTTTATAGCATATGGCTACATTTAACTATAAGAAGTCATTTCAATATGGCTGCACTTCCAGTAAAAAAAATGTATAAAACACATTGCAGTCCAATGTGAAATAAAATATGGATTGAAATAAAATATTCACATTTCCTGTGTTTTCTCTCTAAACGATAAGAGGAGTATTGTGCCTAATTATGAAACATTAAAAAATCCCACTATGTCCAGCTGTATAATGAACTTTCCAGTCTTATAGTATTAGAGTGAAACAATAATGGTACCATATTCCTTGCAGATATGTTTTGCATCTTCAATTGTGTAGCTCTTTGCAATGTCATCTTGTCCATGAACAAAATAATAACAACTGTTTTCAAAAGGAACCCAGGTGTGTCCATCTGCAGGGCAATCTGTGGAGATAATTCAGAGTTCAGGCATTAACAGTTTTGTATCTCTTATGGTTTGTAGTATACCAGGTTATTCTTAAACAACTTATGGCAGATTATACTTTTAAACACTTTTATGCTTAGTTTAGTATTCAGAAGATGAAATGACCATCTTACTGCAGTAAAAAACAATCCTGAACCACTGTATATATACTGTATAATATATCATATTACCAAAAAACGCTCAGTGTTGCAGACTCCAATACTTGTATTCTGGTTGTAATTACCTAGTAACATTAAATGAAATAATCACAGCACATTATAAACACTTATCATTAAAGACAGTATTTTCTATGCTCTGATTCATTGCTGATTACAAGAGTATGAGCATTTTGCACATTTGAAATCTGAGCCAGGAGAGGGTTTAAATGATTATGACATGCATGTAATCTGCAGTATACTGTATGTGCAACATTCAGTGGAGTGACTATTGAGAACACACATCATCGGCATATTCACAGGTTTGCTCGTACTGATCATCTTTGAACTGAATGCGCTAGACATAAAAAGGAGACTGTATTACACAATGATAACATTGTGGAGTTTCAGTCATGTGGGGTGTTTTCAAAATCACAACAACAAAGAGCTATCACGGTTCCCACAAAAGGAACTTCAAAGGTACACTAAAGGTACAAGTTGCACTTGTGTTCTTACTGATATTCTCTTCCCTTAAGCCACATGGCTGTCGCTAAAAAAGGGTCAAAAATCAAAAGTTTGAAAAGACACATTCTGCACGTGAATTTATCCTGTTCCTTGCATTTAATGCCCAAAACAATGATACCTTTAGCCATACTGTAGAGGTAATTGTCATGCTATCCCACAAACGACACAAGACTTGCTCATTTTATGCGCCATTTCAGGAGAATGTGAGAAAAAGAAAAATACTGGAAATTTAAACAACAGATTCACTGTAGACACATTTAAATTGCTTAGAAACATTATTTTAAATGTTTCTGACTAATTGGGAGAGATTTGGGTGACTTTTGAAACACCATATTTGTAGGCATGTTTTTTGATACAGTATGTGTGTTCCCAAAGGGCCCGACCTAGGGTTAGGGTTTCAATAAGAACTAGACCTTTTCTGATTAATTTTATATGCTTTAGGATGCATTTGAAATGTACAGGTGCAGCCATTCAAAATGTATGGTACAAACCCATACTCCGGGCAACCATGCGTATGCCACCGCCCCATACCGCAGTACGTGATTGGCTGGCCAAAATGACCGACAGGGGCATTGGTCGGTAGTGGAAAGATTTAATCACTTAATCTCTTTTTTAATCCACTTAGTATTGAATATTTATATGGAATTTTACAACTAAAGGGACATTTTATTAGCTGAGCATAAAAAGAAGAGGAGCATAATGCATCTGAAGGTCATAAACAATATTAATTTAGGAACATAAGCATATTATGTAAACTGTATATTGTTGGTCTTGGTAGTTTAAAGAAAAAATACATGCCAGTATTCCATTTCTCCCTAAACATTTTAAGCGTCAAAGACTTACATGTGGTTATTTTTACGCGCTCCTTCTGACAATATTACTGTACATTTATAAACTTTGTGAAAATTGATTGTTTTAAGCTTTTCTGAAAATAAGCTCGTTATCAGATTAAACAAAAGCATACTTTTAGAATTGGATTAATAGGGTATATAATATGGATTTGCGTATCTAAATAAATTAATAACAGTATAACTATAATAACATATAGTCATGTTGCACAAACAGTAGTATAAGACCTTCCATTGATATGTGCTTGTCACATGACTGCTTTGGTAGCGTGATAGGTTAAATGACTGATTTATGATTTAAGGTTGAGTGTTCAAAACCAGCTGTCGCCATCACTTTTCTTTTAACAAACTTTTCTTAAAAAAACTAAAATATCAAATATTATTGGCACTATATTATATTTTTTATATTTCTAAATATCACAACATGTTCGTACTGTATGTACACAGTGGTACCGCAGAGCGTAGGGCGCAAATCCACATGAGCCTGAAAGCCCTACATTAATGTTGTGCATTTGGCTGGCACTGTGCGGTTATTGCGTCTCTCTCTCTTTGTCTATACTGTTTGTAAACAAACCGGTTTCAAAAGTATTTTCAAAGTAGAATAAGGGCAAGTCCACCTTTCCCCACTGACATGTTTTCATAAAAAAAACAGATTCACAATGCAAAGCTGTGTCAGTCTTCTGTGTAAATAAAATCGGGTTGAACACCATGGGTGCTGTTTTTAAGACACTACTGAGTAAAGTATAGGAATTTTCCTATAAACAGTACAGTTTACATAATATGTTTATGTTCCTAAATTAATATAATTTATGAGCATGTGAAAGGCATGGTGAATCGGAAATTCTCAACACTTACTTTGTATGATTGGAAACGAATACGTGATCGGATCAACTAAATGCTGTGGTGTTACTTTTTGTCAATGAAAAAATAAAGTATTTTCGTTTACAAAGACAATTACAAAGAATGTGGACCAGGGTAATACTTTGAGTTTACAGCTTGTACAAGCTTTTATAGTATTAGTGATATCTTCATAAAATATTTCTGCATAATTAAAATATTTGTGTTAAAGGTGGTAGGTTGTGTACTTTTGTCCAACTGAGCAATCTTACTTTCATAAAATATTCCAACTTTTTAATGTATAATGATTAACATGCTGTAAAGCACAGTTTAAATTTAAAAGACTTAAGAGTATACAACTTAAATTCTTAACTGAATAAAGACTGTCCCTCAGCAGTGATCGGGATTCGAAACCAGGTGTTTTCTAGTGACAGCTCCACCTGCCAGTTTTACAAGGTGTTTCCGGATACTATTAACATAATCAAATTCGAATCTAATTTGCATATGGTAATCGCAGTATACCGCGACATGCCCACCGCGTTGTACCGCAGCATACCCCCCTTGTTTTAGATGGCTGCATCTGTAGGAAAAGTGTTGTTTGGTTGTTTCCTTCAGAAAACAATTTGGCCAGATTTTGTAGACTGTTAAATTTGCATGATGACAGAGGACATGGTACAAAACCTCTCAAGGCATAAAGAACAACATAAAGCAAAAGACTAACCCCCTGTTATCTCAGGTGTAAACATTTGTGAGACATAATTTTGCAAATGTTTGGTTGTGTCCAGTAAGATTCGTCAGGCAGGGTCCATCAAATGATATACAAGGCCTTTATTAAGGACCTCCTAATCTCTGTGGGACGAAAACGTTCAGATATCATTGCTAATATTGGTGACAGCACATAGCAACAAGTGACTAAAGCTAAGTACTTTGTGCACTGACACTAATAAACATTCACACCACCCTTTGATATCAAAATGTGATTGTTAGTTTTAGAAAACAGAAATCTAAGTATATGTCTCTTCCAAAGAGGCCAAAGTAACAATTTCTCAAATGTCTCAAAAGTGTTTCTTCATAAATTGAGTATTATTTTAAATGGCATTCGATACTTATGTTCTGACTGCAGGTAATGAATGCATCTGCAAATACAGCTCAATTGGTTTCAAAAACTGGAAAATACCAAAACTGCCCTTAGTCATTTAGTTGCTTAATGATGCAGAAAGACAATATTTGTCATATATAAAAAAAACGAGTCTGTACTAATCCTCAAAAATGTCAAACTAATTTACTGATTTCTAATTTACTAAACCAAACTATTTGTAAAAAAACTGCAAGCGAGAAAAATGTATTTAGTCTTTAACCCTGTTCAAGGCCGTCTCTAGCCTTTTTACTATTATAAACAACGATAAAAGTTTAATAAGTAGCAATAGCAAAAGGCACAGCTCTTAATATATGTAGTGTTGTTAAATCGGTATAACATGATTAAAAATACCTGTAACAATAGGTGGAAAATAAAGGTTTTACTTTTCATGCTGTAATCACAGTACAAAGTTAACTAAAATTCAAGTTCTAATCAGCATAGTGACGCAACATTTTAGTGCATGTATTACATTTCTAAACCTACCAATACAGTGGAAATAATATATAGTCGGGAAGAGTGCATTTCAGTTTGTAATTTACAATTTAGTGCAGAGGTGGTAGTACAACAATAATAAGATAAGTTTTATTATATTTATAAAAACACGACTAAAACATTACAATTTACATATTTATATTTTTTAAATTATCTGCAGTTTATGAGTCAGCTTTTTGGTTCCTTTCTAAATAATCAGGAAAAATACACACTTACCAGCCGCAACAGAATAATCCCAAAGCAGAAAAATAACACTCGAGCACAAGCGAAAAAAGCTATGCCGCTTTACAGACTCCATGTTTTTAAAGATTTTACAAACGCCAAGTTTTTCATCCGCTTGAAACGTAATCTTCAGGCGTCAACCAGTCATATGATTTATGAACAACTTTGCACAAATAACTTTCGACAGAGCTGTTGCACCGATTAATAGGAGTTAATTTTGCGACTGTTCCGTTTGTTGTAATACTGGAGGTTGAAAACTAAGAAACTTTATTTACAAACTATTATCTCGAACTTTAAATATTGTAGATAAAACAACACAAAAAGTAGCATTACTCCATACTGCCACAGCTCCCCCACTAGCCTTGAAGTGCACGAAAAAAGCAGTTATCTGTAATAAAAGACGCTTTTCGCCACTTTTCTCTGTGCTGTGCAAGATAAAGATTTTCGGGCGTCGTTAAATTGCACTGAGGCGTTCTCTGAGCGAATTGAAAATCTGAACATACAGTATGTGCATATTACGACCACAAAAGTGCTTTACCCCCACTCCTCCTACTGGAATATAAATACATTTTAAACCGTCAAAATATATGATCACCAGCGTGTTAGCCTCTACAGATAACTAAGCCACATTTTCAGATTCATTCCCACTTTCCAGTGTTGATGGAAAAATGTAGCACAAGTGCCTTATAATAGCATCATTCAAGCTTAGACTTGAAATAGACAAGTTAGCCAGTGCTTAAACAATGGTATAACCTAAACTGTCACAAACGCTGTCACAAAGCATTTATTTTTCTTCAATACCTTTATCAAAATCCAAGGACAAGGATGTTAAGCTCTCAATGCATTGAGTTTTCCATCCTTCACCGATGATCAGAGGCAATTTTTTACACAACAAAGCAAACTCTTCCACAACAGAGAGTGATAAAGCTAGCAAAACCTTGTGTACAGTACATTCCAAAACAAGTGTCCGTGTGTGCCTCAGGCCAAGCTTGTACATAGTCATCACATTTTGAAATACTTGTAGTAAGTGCTATTTCAAATGGGCTGCAGCTACATGAGACTAATGAATATTCAAAAGATTAAAATGTGTATAAATTGTGTTTGCTTTTAAATAAGATGTGTGAAGACATGCTCAGGTAAATCTAAAAATTATATTTAATTGAAAATTAAAAATGAACAATTAGAACATATGACAGGACCCCTTCTAAATGTTTGGAGGCTAGGCATGTGCCTATACTTGAACCTGGCCCTGGTAATTGCCCCTCTATAGTGGTAAAGCCAATCTTTTTCTTACATTGCTTTTTTTATGTCCTTTGCCAGCTGTAACTGGGTTTTCCCAAACCACAGTGGCATGGGTGGTTGAGTGCAGAGTTGTGTCGGTGTATAATTGCTGCTAAGGAACCAGTAAAGATGAATTCCACAACATAGAAAAATAGAAAGAAAAAAAAACATGGTTTAACAGTAGCTGTTCATGAAACATACAGCTGTTTCAACAGCCTAATGTTCAGATTTTCCTGAACTGCACTTTCTAATTTTCCTTTTTGCTCTTTTAAATCTCTGTCTGGAATGAATTTTCCAATATCTTGAAATGTCCAGATTTTTTTTCCTTAACCTTTTTCCCCAACGGTTTTCAATTTGAAATGGTTCCTTTACAGATATAGACTTGTACTGTATAACTATCACCAGCACTCCAATCCCTCCGGTCAACAGAGTGTATCCTAGAGTGAAAGTTCAAATATGCTAATGTCAAATTCGATACTTACACAAACATCATCGATACCCTCCTCTACATCCCCAACCCCCTCTGGTCGATGGTGTGTCCTTTTTCCATGCATCCAGTGTTTTAAATATCTGCAAAATGTTGCAGATCTACTTTTTCATTTTGGAATGAACCTTTACTTGGAATAATGGTCGAATAAAAGCCCTTTTGGGCTTTGGCAAACACACCCTGTGGTCTCCCAGGCTATTTCAGGCAGGTGCTGTCTGTGAAGAACAAGCTTCTCCTCCCTTTATCACTGAGTCTTCTGCAAGGGCCAATGAACCTTGGCTGGGTCAGGGGAGCCTGCCTGCACAAAAGTGCAGTCATGGATGTTAGTAGCCATGAAAAACACAAGTAACGAATTCAAATCTGGAGGAAATACTGTAGCAAAAAATAATTTAACATTCAATATTTTTTTTTTAAATCTCAAGATCATAATTTGGTGACTATTTGGTAATATCAAAGTTACAGCAGAATATGTTAAATTATATCAACTATGACCACAAATCTAAAGCACTTTGAGTGGAGTATCCAGAAAAGCGCTACTGGAGATACAGCAGGTGTAGGCAATTATTATTAATTATTAGTATTATGTATACACTTATTAATTTACTGTATACAAAGTTTGGTGTAGCAAAAACATTTATTATATATATATAAAATAAATGTAGAAACTGGTTTATAGCCAACATCTGTGTTTTTCCATCTTTTCTGACCAATATTTGGGAATATGGTGCCATTAAGCAGTTTTTTTCCACTTCATTCCACTTGACTTACTGTAGAAACAGAGGTAGTTTCCATTACAGACATTTTCATCTGATAATTTGTTACACACACTTCTGACCCCTAGTGGGAATAGCCAATCCTGTACTATCAAAATAATAGTTACCATTGTTGTACTATTAAAAACAATTCTGCTGTAGCACAATAAACAATCATTTAACAATCATTTAACAGTTTTTACTTTGTACTTAGCAATAAAAACTCAATCAATGTGAGATTAGTGTCATTATATAGTACTAAATTTAGCTCATTGCTGAATAGCATCACTACTCACAGAAGAACAAATGAATTGGAAAACAATTGGCAGAAGTTTTTTATTGGAAGGTCTTGATTTTAGCAAAAATAAAGCAGGTGATTCTCCAGGGAAACAAAAAAAAACATTTAAAAACAAACTAAAACATTCCATAACAATTGAAGAGCAATTTATATAATTATGATATTTTTATCATTATTTTTCCTTATACATCCCTGTTAGTTTCCAAGAGTTGATTTTGTCCCTCAAGCAGTCAAAGGAATGTTCAACATCAACAGATCCAAATTGCGATGGTTCATTTTCATTTCACAAACCTCTTTGGTTTAGGCTGAAGTTCAAAAATATAAACATACAGTATCTTCATATATTTACAAAATATACAAAAGCAGGTACAGTGCTACTAACAGTTAAGTTACAATATCTTTATAATCTACTTAATTTGTGCCTTGCAAATGGTAAGACTTTTAAAATTTAAAGTGCACATATATTCAGTAGTTTAAGGGTTTGGCAATCTTGGAACATCCATCCAATTACATTTATCCACTTAACTGTGTCTGGTTACCCAATATACCCTGCTGATTACTTCCATAATTAAGGAAATTGATTATGGATTAGTTTACAGAAAGGAACCAGAGTGCCACAGAACCCTGGTTCTAGTGCAAGTATTTGGTGGTTTGTAGCAGTCACTTGAAAAACACAACATATCAATACAGTTCATGCACTGCTATCTCCTTATCCTCTAGATCTACGTGGTAAAATTCAAGAAAACACACTGATGAGGTTTATACTCAGTGCAGCTCAATCAGCGTCCACTTTGGCATTTGGAAAGTAAAATTGTAGTGGTTTTAGTTCTGTTGCAGATCGCAACTAAAGGCTTAAGATTTACAGCAAATTCTAGTCTTAAATAATTAACACTAAATTAAAGGTACCTGTTCGAGACACTGAAGTTTGAATGGAGTGTAAGGAGTTTGTCTTCTTATTTGGTATTCTGATTCAGGACTGATTATTGAAGGCTTTGTAGAATTACTTCCTTAATATGACCTTAGTGTTGTTATAAAAAATGTTTGTAGTTTGTAAGTTAAAAAAAATCACTTCACCAGCTAAAGGAAGTAATAAACTATTCCCAAAATTTCAAATTATTTTTTAGGAACTTTTTTTACAAAAATGTATTAATTCAATAATCAGATACATTTACAATTAATACTAAACAGTTCTAAAATTTAAGAAAAAGATTTGTTCCAGTGATAGTTCAGGAGAAGATGTACTGTGATAAGCTTCAGCCTTCCAATAGTCTGAGCAGAACTGTTCAAATGGTTATTCCAGCAGGATGTGGTAAGCTCTTTTGCACTTATGGCTAAATTTAAATTAACAAAGCAACAATGTCATTTAAAATGAAACCTTAGAGAGTAAAGAAATTTAAAAAGACTTGTATAAAAACGTGCATGTATTTAACTAGCACTTCACCTCATCGCCTTTGACATTTTACCTTAAAACATTTTTACTGCAAGCTTAGGAGTTCTTCACTACAGACTGAAAGAATGTAACTGGAGTGCTTGTAGGCATTTGTTGGCAACAACGTAGCTCTTTTCCTCTTGGTGTAAAAAAAGGGAACTCTCGGTTTCAGTCAGTCTGTGTTATTATGCTTGTGCTGTCGGGGTCATCCACACTTCTCTTATAGCGTACCCTTGAAAACATGGATGGAAAGTGTACCCTGTTTCTTCTATATACTAAGAAAAGTATTCCAGCAATTATGGCTACGAGGATGAGCAAAAGGAAGGCGATAACTACTGATGTCCTCTCCGACCCTGAGGAGAAAGAGGAAATTAAGGAAATTCAGATACAGAATAGTGTACATATGAATACTACTATCACTTAGCATAGTTAATTTAGCATGTACAAAGGGATCATCCTAAAAAAATTGGATTTGAAAAACAAAATCAATAAAAAGGAATCTAAATTTGTCCATTCACTGCCCAAACTATTGGCAACACCCTGACAGGCAATTTGTGGCAACCTTGAAAAACATTAAACAAATCCCAATCACATGGCCTGGACCGCATCATCTCTAAATCCCTTTCTCTCGAAAACCACTGTAATCAGCAGATTGTTCCATTCACTTCCACATGCCCAGTGCCATCAGCAGAACCTGCAAATGTTTCAAACCCTTGTGGAGTAAATGGTACATTCACTTCAAGATCTTCCTGCTGCCCAATGAGGCCCAGCACAGGTACAGTATATGCAATGATTAAAGGAGATTAAAGTGCTGAATTAAAGTGAATGATCATATTTTCTTCATTAACCAAATCATCAAACAGGCCATTTATATCCAGGTGTCGTGGAGAGATTGAAAAAATTATTAAATCAATAATGAATGACCAACACACTTCTGGTAAAATGTAAACTGAACAGAATTATAGCAGAAGAGCTTTTATCAGCACTATGTTTGCAATAATATTGACAATTCTAATTGTATTTTATGAGACAAAGATGTCTTTATGCTAAACATGCAATTTCCACAATACTGCCAGGGCATGCTTTTTTAAAATACATGCAGAACTTACGGACAGGAGCTTTACAAACTATCCTACTGCGTATCGCATTGCAGCTAACATTTCTCCAGATCCCAGTTCTGCTCACAATGACAGCACAGCGGGATTCAGATTCCAGTGGAGAAGTATTATTTTCCCAGTTAGAGAAGCTGAGACTGGTGCCATCTAGCCAGCTGACTGGTTTATCTAGAACAGAAAAAATGCACTTAATGCCGACGCCATTTCACAATCAAAGGGCCTGGGTATGGAGCTTCCACAGATGTGTCTGCTGAGTACCTTTGGAGCCGGGATCAATGCCGAGCCAAACACGGCCAGTGATGATAGGATGCTCTTTGACATATTTGTAAACAAATTCATTCTCTTCCAAATCTTTAATGGTCAGCAGCTGTGAAGACGCATCTAGAAATTAAACATAATTTATAAATCAATGATCCTGAATAGAGAATGGTGTAGAAAATAACTCAATCTGCTTGAAAAATACCCTGCTACAGTACATCAAATAAGGCAACATCAGTTTCCTGTATAATCATCTGCATCAGGCAATGCATGATTCCAAAGTCCAAGGTAAGAGATACCGATGCTTTTTTCTGACTGTTGTGTTTATCATTTGAATTTGGGCTTTGCATAATGCTTAACAGGCCTGGACTACATCGAAGGAATCTACCGTATTCTTGAAGGGTAGCACAAAAGAAAATCAAACATACCAAGTTGCTGACAAATTTGTTTAGCTTCATTCATTGTGTACACTGAGTAGTTGAAGAAGTTTATGTCAAATGCATAGCAGTGGTCTTTGTACTGAATCCAGTTAGATGAGCCACTACTCTGAGGACACCCAGGAGATGAAACAGAAGTCCTTGGATCTGACTCTGTTACAAAAGTAACAGCACAAATAATATTAAAGCAAACAGAATATTTTCACTTCATTTTAGAAAAAAATAATTAAGACAGAACAATATGATAAATCTTTGGAATGTCCATGTCAATTATATGAAAATGATGCTAAAAATGTTGCCTACTTGGAGTAGTCACACTGTAACAAATAGCTCCTTGTACAACAGTGTCACACTCGGTGCGTTTCCAGAATCCTTTAGTATCCATGAAGACACAGGATCCATTGGAATCTTCTGAATGTTTAAACTCCCATGGCTTGTAATCAAAGTCATTTCCATCGGACCACTCAAAGGATGAGCCACTAGCCTAAGAGAGAAACCAATACCATATCCAAGACACTGTCAAAGAATAAGATGTTGCATTTAAAGTCTGGATGTTTCACTGATAAATATAGAGAAACAATTTGCAAATGAGGAGCAGCTAAATGTACAAAATAAATGCAATTATTCACAGTTTCAACATACAGCAGCTGTGAGCTGCTCAAGAAATTTCATAAATTATGTCAGTGATATATAGTACAGCATGTTAAAATGTGGTAAATATGACTATAATGAATCATTTACCATAAAGAAACAGGTGTGTGATACTAATTACTCCAATATTACCTGAAGTTTTAATTTACTAAACCCATCTTCCTGTCCAATACATATGAAAACCCCAATTAAAAAATATCCCAAATAAATGATTACAAAACACATGCCTCTACCACATTATTAGGCTTCTCATGCAGAAGCATTCCAAAACTTAATTACTTCAATGCACTCATAGAGCATGCCACATACGTCTAGACTGGAAAGGCCGATCCAAAGAGGAAATCCATCCATTCTTGTCAAGTTCTTCAAAAACATATGGTGGGGTTCATCATGGATACTAGCTAAATGGCTGCCACTTCTCTTGCACTCTTTCAGTGCCTCATGCCAGTTCATTTTCTTCTGTATCACTCTGTAGATGGAGTTTCCATACATCACAGTATCAGGCAATTTATTGTGATACTCCTCTTTCGAGCCTTAAATAAAAGAAACAAAAAACATACAACAAAGTCCTCATGCTGTTTGTTTGGAATACTTGCGTTCTTTTGAATACTGCAACAAATCACTCACTTCTTAAAAAAGCCTCCATATTCTTATTTGTTCTGACTTGTGTCTGTGCTGTTATAAAGTTCAGATTTTTAATGGAAATCGAAACTACAAGCCTGTAAGCTGCTGCTTTTGTTATCTTTCGATAAATCATGTTAAACACACTAATGGAAAACCCTTTTCGAAATTCACCTTTTTCGATCTTGCAGGCAACAATACTTTTCTGCTGGAAAAACGCACGATATGCATAAGGCACTATATCCCAGCTTCCATCATAATGAATTCCAGCAAAGAAGAAGCTATCATTTTGTTGCGGTCGTCCGTCTCTCCAGTTCGAGTACTGAACATAGGTGCCGTCAGACCACTTCATGGACACATCTAGAAAGGAACAACCAACCAAAATGAAGGCCATCAGTGCCATGTTCATATTTTGTGTGCAATTGTAACTGCTGCATTTTAAAACACACTCACCATTTGAGTCGAAATATAAACCAAGCCACACCCACTCTACAAGGTCTTTGAAAGGCAGAAGTTGCTCCATCACAAAAGTATTCTCGGTTTCATTCCTTATAATCAAAATGTCGGCATTGGGATCTGAAAAAAAATGGATAAAGGATCTCATCTAGGGTGGCACGGTGGTGCAGTGGCTAGCATTTCTGCCTCACAGCGCTGGGTCTTGGGTTCAGTTCTGAACCTGGTGCGCTATCTGCATGGAGTTTATATATTCCCCTCGTGTTCATGTGGGCATTTACATTTTGTAAAATCACAGTAATTGCAAGAACTAAATTTTGTTCCTACAAGTTAAATGCATAGTTGTGTAGTCTGATAGTTCTGAATCTTTCTAAACCTTTCACTTTTAAAACAAAAGTATATGTCTTCTCCAGCCACCATTTTTGTATGGATCAGCAGGGTAAAACTGGAGAACAATGATCCCTTGCTAGCTTCTTAAATACAGTTTATGAAATGACGTTCCATACCTAGTTTCTTGCACACTCCATGAATTTCCATTCCATCAAAATCCTCCCATCTTTTTGCAGACAACTGAAATGTGTAGCAGCTGTTTTCAAAAGGAACCCAGTTAGGTCCATTTTTTTTGTGCGGACATTTTGTGACATTTCTTTCAGTTATGTTAACAGTCTCATCTGGAAAAATAAAAAAAAACAGTCAGACATTAAGGATAAAAAAGAAAGGCTGGAGTAGTGGTAGCTCAGATGGCAAGGGTGTCTAGCTCCTGACTGGAAGGTCCCAGGTTCAATCCTAGGTAGGGGAAGCAATGTAGCTTGCTCTAATTCCTCCCAGACAGCTCCCAGGTCCACTCAGCCTGCTTTCCAAATGAGTACCGGGGGTTAATCCCTCCGGGGGTAATAGGCCGGCTGGAGCGTGATGCTGACCACAACACCTCCACCTCCAGTGTTGGATGGTCAAAGACAAATGGTGGTCCTTGCCCCCCATTCTCCCATGGGCCTTTATGCCCTGAAAAGGGACCTACCTACATATGAATACATACCAAAAGAGTCCATTATAATAATTATAATTAATATCTAATCAGCTTCAACAATGTGACTGTGTAACTTGTTCCAGACTCTCAAAATTGTATTTGACTGCTGTGTAGAAATACATTTGAGGATTCCTACATATGATTGCAAAATGAACGTTTACAAATGAGAGAAGTCCATTTGGTCCATGTAGCTCATTTGTTGGCCAACTGTTTTAAGAATCTCAACCAGCTGCACCTTGAAAGATCCTAAAGTATCTCTTGAGTAGTGTTTCAGACATCCCAACTCTTGTTTACAGAATTGCTTTCCCTCATAAATCCTGTACAACTTAATTTTCATTTGTTACTTACTCCTATAAAATTCTTTTTTGAATAGCGGCCATTCTTCTGAACTTCCATTTCAAAGTAATTGAGAATCTTTCTATAAAATGTCCCTTTTGTTGGAAAGACAAGTGATTTACAGTGGGAAGGGGGCAGAGATTTAGCTTCCTCATTTTCCAATCCCACAATGAACTAAAGTTGCACACCTTTTCCATGACTTACATAATTCCTTTCCTCAAGTCTTTTTATCACCTAAGTTTTGCATAATTCAGAAGTGAACATTTCTTAGCTGTTGCGTGAAAACAAATAATTACAATTCCCTGTATTTATAAATGTTTTACTTGAATTAAAGTTTTAAACCCTATAATTACAATAATAAACACAGAATAGCATAAACATACCGTACACTAAAACATATCTAAACACTGTAGAGAAAAAAACACCATTCAATTAATTTATAAATACTATTACCCTGCACTGCACAATAATTAAAGACAAAATTAAATACATAGTTAATAAGTTACAACAATAAAATCACAACTGAAATACTTCCCTGACAAGACTGCAAAACACTTTTTAAAAAAAGCACCAGTTAATAAGCAGAGGTTTACCACATGTGTGATAAGGCACGGCCACCTGACTGAACCCTTCATCAGTGGAAAGGACTTGTTGCAATGCTTGCTCTGTACATAAACTTTCTTTAACTCCAAAATTGTATTATTGGATCTGAGGGAGGCTTTTATGGAAAGTCAAATAAACATATATCAAGTCTTACATAACCCCAGGAGAGGGTGTTGTTTACTCAGATATGCAACTGTATATGAAAGCTGTATGCCCCCTTCTTCCAAAATCAAAAGATACAATGCTCTAGGGATCCTAAACTAAACAACACCCTCTATAAAATACTTGCTTTTAGGAATGTGGCAAATGGCTCCTGAAAGCTGCTCTTCACACTCAGTGGCTTTCCAGAAGCCACCTGTGTCCAGGTAAACACAACCTCCACTGTGTGCTTCCTCAGACCAGCGACTGTACACTGTGTGGCTGCCATCTGACCAGCGGTAGTGGACCCCATTCTAGGAACAAACAGGTAGGAAAGTGTTCAACTATGCCACCAAGAGACCTCATTGACTACACCCATTTAATACTGTGCCCGGATTTAAGAACTGTTAAAAGGATTTTGATCCCGATGCCAAACTGTGACTTGAAATAGATACAAGTAGATAAAACGCTTCTAGCTTTAAATTCAAGCTTCCGGGTATGAAATGCAATTTTAGTGCATTCCTCTCATCCTAGAGATAAGGATCTGCACCAGACCTGGTAATATATCAAATACTGTATGCATAGAAGATTAGGATGCCAGTTTACTAAGATTAATTCCAACAGTATTTTTAAACTACGTTTACTTGCTAGCCAATGCAAATCATTAACAAAAGGTGATCTACAGATTCAATATCATTGCACATTAGGAACTAGTGTATTATAAGAATCATAAGACACTTTACTAGAATTGGAGAGACAAGAAAATGCACTCATACATCTTCACTGAAGAGACCGATCCACAGGGGTTGTGTGTACTGGTTGACTTTCACAGTGAGGTGAGACTGCTGGTAGGTGTCCGAGATGCTCGCCAGCTCCATATTGTACTGTTCGCACTGCTTAAGCGCCTCGTACCATGTGACATTCTTCCAGATAATTCTGAATCTGTGGTCTGCAACATTAACCTCAGTGTCCTGTGTGATTTCTGGCTGAACTGGTTTATCTAAAAAGAAATGAAATGCAATATAGTTAGGTTTTTGTTTCCCTAATAAATAAAACTAGTTATTCACTTCAGACATTTTCTAAATACTGTATCCTCTAACCACTTTCTGGAGTCTTCTCAAGACAGGCCTGCACAAATAGAACCTGTAGATCCTTTAATCCCTGTGTCTGCTACATGTACTCAGTAAAGCTTTGCAGAAGAACAATGCGGTCTTTTCAAGTCTAATCTTTTTTATGCAACTGTGTTTTATGTGGCATTGGATTCATTTTATTGTGTTTTGTGAATTTAAGTCAACCTGAACAAAAACAAAACCAGATCAGTTTATGTGGATAATTATTCTTCTAACGCCTCAGAAACCTGCCAGAGCACATAAGTTAATTTAATAATGCTTTGATCTGAATAACATCAGTAAGCCCTACTTGGCACTGTAACTGCAAGATAATGGTTTTTAACCTTTAGGATTGAAAAATATTCTTCATCGTCATCTAATACTTCTTTCTTCATCCTCATCATTTAAGTGCTTTGAGAAGCCACCTTTAAAGGCACTATATAAAATAGTGTTTATTACTATGTACCTGTGTAAAATTGGCAAGCTGCCATATACTGCGCATCATTGCAAGCAGTGAAATCCCAGGTCCCCACAAAAGTTGAACGGGCATCATTGAGGACATATACACACACACTGTCTGGGTTGCGAGGCTACAATGAAAAAACAGAAGTTATTTATAATCGTAATATTTAATGCCTCGTTAAGGAACCCTGTATCATTTTTCTTTATGTAACATCCATCCAATTTTCTAATTGCTTCATGCAATTCAGGGTCACAAGGGAGTTGGAACCTAGTCCTGCAAGCAACAGGCGCAAGGCAGGGTACACCCTAAACGGGATGCCAGGCCATTACAGGGTACACTCACAGACACAGACACAAACACACCATGGCCAATTTTCCCAGAAGCCAAAAGCCTCACCCTAACCAACCAGTATGTCTTTGTACTGTGCACCTGGAGGAAACCCATGTGAACATGAGGAGAACATACAAACTCCACACAGAGAGCACCCCAGGTCTGGAATTGAACCCAGGGTCCCAGCGCTACAAGGCAGCAATGCTCACCACTGTGCCACCATATATCATTTGAATGACATAAACACTTCAATGAAGACCTGTGTTTTGAGATCTACAGACAAAATGAAGGGGGGGATTCAACTTGCATCGATCTTAATTCGCCGTTGGTTTCGATGAAGCAGGGGGTGGAAATTGACATATGTGACTGGGGAATTATCAGTCCACCGGAGAGAAGTACGCGTCATCTTCAAGCCAACCCACACTTTACTTTGCAGGCCGTACAGTAATGAGGTAACAAAATCTGCGAACAGAAACGGAGCACAGATGGAGAAAAAAAAAGTGTCATTTCAAAGAACTGCAGAGTAAGCTCTTGATACTTAGTGTAGCTAACTCTTTCTTTTTATAGAACATGTATGAATCTCCTATACTGCACAAACCTTACTGTCATTAAACACTGTTTCTTCACTCTCTCTGAATTTCAAATCTACAAGAATGCACTAAAGCATACAGCAATTTAGCACCCCAGATGTGGTTTAAAAATAAAGAATAAAATATTTTATAATGGTAGTATTATACAAATAAAGTATGATTCACAGCATGTATTACCTAGGACGCTATTTCTTGTACTGTATAACCTATTGTACTTCCAAAGTGGAAGAAGGAAGATGACCTTTGCGCTCAGTTTAAAGAATACTGCATCTTCCCCCTTTTCAGATATAACGTTTGTTAGATGAACCCACCTTGTTCAGCTTGACTCGAGATGCTTGGAAGTGTTCCACCAAGTGACATGCACAATTCATTTGCTTTTTCAAATGTCAGGTAACGGGGTTTAATTGCAGTGTAACACTACAAATGAAAATTAAATATTATACTTTCTTTTCTTTCTTTTTTTCACCCTGCACATCCAGAATTTTCATTTTTGTTGTTACTCCATTATCTCCACAGCACTTTAGCAAACTCATAAATACCAGTGATGTCTCTATTGTCTTTTAGATTTAATGTTTCCTCTGAGAGTGTATTCTGATAATTAGAATTCAAGAAACACATTACAAAAATGAAAAGTCTTAAAAGTCTAAACATCAACATTCTTATATTTATATATTTAAATCACAACTGTAAATAACACAATAAATTAAAAATAACTTAATTGTGGAATGTAAAGTTGTCAGAACAGTCCAATACATGGGTTGTTGATAATTTCACTTTTAAGAACCTCACTGATTTTTGGCCTGCATGGGAATGGCATTTTCTAGAACAAAAATGTTTGCATAGTGAAGTCCAAATTGAAGGTTCAGGACTGATTTTGTTTAGGGTAGGGGGAATCACAGCTGCACACAACTGTAATGGAAGAACTGGAAATGTAAACAGAAAATTAAAACATTAAAACTGACCATTAAAAGCTCTCTTCATATTTAAAATGAAACTTTATTTCCTGTTCTGCAGCTATGTATCATTGTGACAATTACCTTTTCTCCAAGAGAAAGAGAATTATTTGGGCACGTCTTGTTAGAATGTCCCAGTGGGCCAGTCTCCATCACTGTTGAGTTGATTTTTTGACACACAAAAGGCAGGGGAAGCTCACAGTTATGTCCCATAATACCTGGAGATCACAGTACAAAGGAATCAGCTGTTACCATGTACATTTAAGTAAATGTAAAATGCTTAAAGTCTTTTTGAAAATGCAGTGTACTGAACAATTGTTCAGAAAAAGGCTTGGTTCTGTTTTAACATTTTTGCAACTGTGCAAATTCAAATAAAACTAACAGCATTACAGCATTTTTTTAAAAAAATAGCTAAAATTAATCACAGAATTACTAAACTAATATTTTTATTTACCTGGAAACATGGATTGTGGAGTCATAAAAGTACACATGCCCAGAAAAGGCGGCATAAAAGGATAAATTCTCCCATGAGGAAACCTGCGAGAGAAAATGGGCATTTCCATAATCAGTTAAATTATCAGTTTCTCCTTTTAATCAGCATTGAATTTCTAATTTAAATGTTTTTGATGAAAACATAGAAATGAAATAAAAACAAAATCAGAATACTTGCACACTGTGACAAAAGATTTTGTTTTACAGATGCAGAAAAACTGATATCTATGCCAAAACAGATCATTAACACTCTGGGCACAGTGCATAGAAATAGCGTTGTGTGAAACTATTACAAAGCCTTAAAATGTTACAAGTGCACCTGACTATGTGCAACCAGCACAGGCATGTGATTGGCTAACTACTTTTGCCAAGGATCTATGGTATGATGCATGCCTTCTGATTGTTTCATCTAAACCATCTGCCAGGCAGTTAAGTAATTGAAAGGTGCTCTAATGATTGGTCGACTAAGCATACCTGTTAGATGTTGATCCATTAAAATTATTCTTGATTGATTAATCTACCCTGTATAATGTGGCCAAAAAATCCATAATGGCTACATTCTGTTAATTGGTTCTCCCCTTTCCACCCTGCAGCAACACCTTTTCTGCTTCCTTCTTATCAGCACATCCTCATAGGACTCCAATAGAAGGAAGCAAAACAGGGCAATTGGATTCTCAATAATTAGGAGTTTGCCGAGTTCTCAGTTACATAATTAAGTCCTTAACTCCCACACAAATGGGATTCGTTTGAGCCGTTTTCAGTTCCTAAATTTATTTAAAAAAAGAGTTGTCTTCTTTTACACATCTAAGTTACAATCTCCAACATCTAAGAAGAAAGGTTGCATAGGTTCGGATCAACCAATAATTAATTTAACTAAGATTTACTTAAGTTTCTTTGATGCATCTTCAATTGTTGTCAACTAGTCTTCTAAATTTTATAACTAGCAGACTTACCCTATGGGATAGACGTGCTCAGCATCACGCATATTCACCCACCAACCCTGCCGGGTATTTCTAGAAATCTTAAATAAAAATATATAGAAATGCAATAAGCACAAAATCCAAATATAAATGTTATAACTGTATACAGAGCCTTCTTAAGAGTGCAGAAGGTGTATTGGCACTAAACCTCTGAGAATTAGTTGATGGTCAATATACAGGATCTCAAAGGTTTCATTAAAAAAACAAGTATAATTAAAGAAAAACATCACAGTTAAAGTAGAGATTATTATTATTGTTGTATTATGTTGTAGCACTCATAGTGGCTGCAGTACCTATTTTTATTAGTATGGAAATAGACTGTAAATATCTCTACAGTATTTTTAAAGAATATAGAATCTAAGAGCAGAATTTTTCTTAACTACCTAATAAATGTCTGTAAAAAAGTTACCTCTGAAGTAAAAGTAAGCAATTTTAAGAAATGCCTCCTATTTTACACTGCTGTGATATTTGTTTCAGTGTTAATACCTCAGACAGCTTTTCATTTATTTTTATTGCTGCATTGAAAGTCTGTGGAGCTGCCAGCTTGCTTTCGTTGGTTTTGCAATATAATTGAGCTTCATCATAGGACAGAACTGTATCATTCACAAACCAGAATTCATATCCGTCAATAAATATTGATGTTTCATGATGTCCTCCTGCAAAAATTATACACAACACATAAACAAGGGGACCATTCAATTAACATAAAATGCATTTTCAAAGATTAGTTAACCTAACCAAAACAAAAACGTATTTTTGTTCACTTCTGCTATTCAGATCTCATTTACCTCCAATATGCAACCTTTTGTAGACAAATCATACTCTTGTACTGTATACTATAAAGTCAATCCCCCCTACCTGAGTGGTCACCCCTTTCAAACTGAAAGTCAAACTACTACTATTTATCTCCTGTTTTACAAACAATGTCAGATGAAAAATTACAGTGCTCAAGCGCTTAATATATTAACTACTGTTCTTTGCAGATGAAGACAGCAACATGCCTGATAAGTTAATTCATGGAAAAAAAATTACATTATGCTTAAGTCAAATAATTTCCTTACTTGATTTTCTGTGAAATGAAGCCCACTGACAAAGTAGTTCGGACTAAAGCAGACTATGATTTGATATAAAATGTTGTTGTTCCAGCTGCTATGCTGATATTTCTAATAGAATTTTGCTCACTTAAGAGTTTCCATAGTGTCTGTATTCTCTTATCTATTTTTGAATTTTAGGGAAGTGTACTTGCACAGTTAAGCAATCTCCTTACTACTGAATTTACAACAGTGGAACTACAATATGAACTCCCTTCCCCAGTATAAACTTACCAGGATTAAACCACTCTGGAGTCTTTGGCTTCACACCTGTGAATATTAAAAATGAACAGATAAAATGCAACAAACAAGGCTATTTTAAACAAGCATCCTAGAATTTTTTCTTGGCAATCATGTGTTATGCTTAATTAGGACTTGAGATTTTGGACTTTTTATTTTATTTTTGTTAATTTAGCAATTAGCAATTAATTTCACTTTTGATATATTTGTGGTTGAAATCAATGACGGGAATAAAGCAGAGGGAGATATTGTAAGTAGATCCATCCAGACTAGTTCTTGTTATCACTCTTCTACAATAAGCAGCCAAACACCAAGCCACTTCTTCTTAAGGTGGTGCAACTTTTTATTAATTATCAATCATAACTCTATCACGTTGAGATCATTCTGATAATATCAACATGGTTGTTTTTTTATTTAGATTCTCTTTGATTCTCTCCTCACCTTATAACATTCAGTGTAGAAAAGCCAATTATATGTAGCCTGAATTGCAATGCAAACATAATAATAACCCCATTTTCACTTTAATATGCCCTGTTTTGCCAAATCATCTGCCTCTCTTTATGCTGTGAGGCCAGAATACAAATTGCAGGGCTTTGGTGTCAACTAGAGGTCAAACACAGCTCTTGCTGACAAAACCCATTCTTTCAGGCACCTAGCCAGCAAACATCGGTCATCTGTGCCAGAGCTTTCTCAGTGAACTCCACCAACCTTTTGTCACCCTCCTGTGCTGGCAGTGCTTAACGGATTGTGCCATATACTCTCAGAACTTCCAACCAGAGCTGGCTGGAAACAGAACTCTTTGAGCTACCAGAGCTAAAAGAATCTTCCTGTACTCCAAGAGACTACTGATTGAGTTGTGCATGCTAAAGACTGATGAGATGTTTTTGAACACTCTGAGAACAAATGATATGTAAAAGTCACGGAAGAGCCAAACTTTTAAATATAAATAAAAAGATTTAAGATTTTTGTGTACTGACAAATGTGACCCACTTTTAACCAATCCATTCACCTCTTGGTATCTGACATATCCACTCGAGTTTGGCATCACAATTGAAGGGATGTGCATAAAAATCCTTAGTCACTAAATCGTGAAACAGAATCATGAAGAAAGGCGTAAGTGTTCTCTTCTGTGTCTATTGGAAAAGATAGGATAAAACTGTGAATTAGAAAACGTTAAGTAGAATTTTAATTAGCAATTTAGTCAAATAAGCGCATGTCAAAATGTTAATACAGTATATGCCAGATAATGTTTCTCCAGAAATAAAAAAAAACAACTTAATTGCTGCACAGGTTTAAAAATCGACTCCTTGTTGTACCTATATAACCTATAATGTTGTTATATTCCCTCCTTGTCTCAAACATTACAGTTAAAGTATGTACACAATTAGATTTGATTTATATTATATTATATAACATATTTAAGTAGCAATACGTTTTTCTCCTGTTATTTTATTAATTTGCTTAGAAGATGCCCTTATCCATGGCAACACATATTGTACAGTTAACAAATTCTATATTAAGTATAGCAACACTAGTACAACGAAAACAATAGACATGATTGCAGGTAAGAGCAAGTGCAATAAAATACAGCAACGAACTAAAACAAAAGAAAAAATATTATCCTGCAACACTTGGCAAGTGTTTAAAATAGTTGTTTAACTGGTTTTTCAATTCCATTTGGCAAGATGAAGAATGTAGGTGACTCATAAGTAACTAGAAGAAAACAAAGGCGTTAAGCATGTTTGTGTCCCTAATAAATGCCAAACCATAAAACACTGAAGATGCAAATAAAAAACAGCTAAGAAAAGCAGGTATAATAATAAAGAGAAATAATAAATGGATGTTCTGGTAAATGATCAGGTGAAACAAAGTAAATTCATGACTTGTATTCTACCTTAAATGCAACGCAGTCACGATCATAATCATCATCTTCATGAAACTCTTCTGAAAAAACGACTGAGGAGACCTAAAACACAACAAAAAGCTACACTGTCAATGTTCATTGGAATGTTAATTGAAATATTAATTCCCCGACCTTAGTAAAATAATGTTTTGCTGTGTTTCAAACATGTGATTATGCATTACTATTATGCATTTACCACTGTTTTTCTAAAAAGGAAAGCTCTTTTCCTCCCTAATAATGACATCATCATAGCATTGATACATAATACTTGATTATCCCTCATAATCAGGGAGACTCGTGCTCAATAATATAATGCCAGGCACTAGTTACAAAGGGACAGACAAAACTTCATCAGTTATTATTTTGCAATCCAAGTGCTGTATGAAAGTTACTTTCTACAACTTTGATCTTATCAGTCAAAATGCTGTGCAATAACTAATTCTTAATCTACTGTGTTCCAAATTGAAAGATTAACTAAAATAGTTATGCTGGCTACAGGGAAATACAGTACATTAACTTGTTGTCTCATTGGTATTTTTAAAATGTCATAACAATATATAATAACAGTTAGCAAATGTAATTAATTCTAAACACATTTACGATGAAATACAAGTAAGACTTCCTTCAACTGTATACAATTAATAAATAAATGATGCACAATTAAAATGTATAAAACTTACTGGTCTGTTATCACTCCATTCCCACATGTTTTCAGATTCTGGGTTTCTCTTATTCAATCCAGTCCAAAAAAATCTATTGTTACTGTTTAGAAGCAAAATTAAAACAATATGAAAATGGCTCTAACAAAAATTAAAATTACTTGCATAGGTACTGTATTAGTAAATATTTTGTGTTTTAAGTGGGCGTTTTATATTCAGACCAATTTCCTAGTTATGTCCAATAAAAACTGTGCCATAGCATGTCCTTTATAACTTGATGAACAAGGCAGGATACAATTGTTTTAAGAAGAACAATGGTCTCATTTGATAAAAGCATATGAATAGTTGACAAAGTGGTACACAGAATTTGAATACAGAGTAGAAACAGACCATGAATTACACTGGTTTTGCATGATTCATAATTGGATGTACTTGAAAAACTCTAAAAATAAACACAGCTGAAGCATCACTGACATAGTCCACTTGGAGAAGATGGTGTCACTGAAGGGGTTCTGAGCTGTAGCTTTAATTCACCTGGTAACAATGTACCATGTGTAGGAGAAGAAAACATCTGGAGTCTCTGTTTTTGACACTAACAATGAGGTCCCTCTCTGTCTGGGACTGCTACAAGGGCACACACACAGTACAGCACAAAACGTTCTGTGCCTTCTGAATTTTTTTAATTGCTGTTATGATCCGCCAATTTAAATGTACACTAAACAAAGTAGTCAGACCTAATTGAAGAATAAAGTGCAGACTCTTTGTTTGCAGGATTATTGCTTAATCTTACATCACTGATCCACACACAAGAATACCTAACAGCTCCCTGATTGTGCAATTTACAGATAACTCCACTAAATATATTTACATGCTGGACTCTGCAGAAAAGGAAAATAAATCAAAGATGGGCATATTATTACTGTATGTAAAGTTCCTGGTTACTTAAGTGCACTTTCACACTGAAAAAAAAAAAGTAAAAAAGAGAATACAAAATGACCTGATTGTGTCCCTTAACAAGTAATGTAGGGCTTCCATCTCCTCATGGTGGCTGAAACTGGGCAAATGGGCTCCTAGCGCTTCACAGAACCTCTCTGCTTCTTCCCAAGTCCTCTTACGAACTATTCTTTCATGATGAAAAACCTGAAAACACAGCAGCACAAAGCCTTATAAAGGCATAACCTTTCTATATTCCACATGGGAGAAAGAGTGTAAGCCGCAACTTTAAAAGGTTGCACAACACTCTGCAATGATGATGGCAATAACTATCAACTGTGCGATGTACAATGCTGTTGTAATTTCTAACATTTTAAGTAATATTTCCTGTTCTATATATGAGCTGAGGAACTTAAATCACTGGTACTTTCTGTTGAATCTTGGCTGCTGGCTCTGTAACAAAGTCATGTTGCTGGAAACGCAATGTCTACTGTACATTTTTAACAGTCAGGTATCCCTGCCATGCATATGTCACCCTTAAGCATCAAGAGAGCTGGTGCATTAAGGTTGCGATTGTGGAAAAAACAACAGTGTCCGGTCATTTTTTTTTTCCACATAGAGTGCAGCAGAGATGTGCGCTAGGACAAATGGGAGTTTATCGCCTCACAGATTCAACATTGTCTACATCCAGCTGATTTTTGAGAGCAAACAAAGTGGCAGGAATTCTCATGCTCGGAGAAAAAACTGAAATGCTGCAGTCCACTGGAAGATTAACAGGTTGGTTGTATAAGGAATGTGGAATTCAGGTCAGAGCTCCTATCTTGACTATAGTGACACACAACAAATGGTCTATTGGAAATGGAACACCTATGTCACTTGTAGAAGGCCATCTCAAAACATCTAAGCCACAGTCTTGACTTAGAACTGCCATCATAAAGCTCATTGATAAACCAGGGTAAGTGAATTCAGATATGAAAAATCTGGAGTAGTGGAGCATGTTATTGCCACCAGGTTTACTCTATCCCTTCTAAGACAGCAGCCTGTTAGAAATTTTCCATTGTCATATAAACCAAGATTTGCATGTTGTGTAAATCATTTTACTAACCTTGTAACAGTAAAGAAGGCCTTTTTGAGACTGCCAACCAGGAGGACAGGGGGCATCAGGATTGGGTTCAGGTTCTGGTTCTGTGTGAGAACCGATGTCCATCTTGCAGATGGAGATGGCTTTAAAAGTATCACAATCCTTGACCTCCCACTTTCCCAGGGCCTTGCCAGCAGACATTGCAACACAGCCCTTGAGGTGAGCTGTAACAACACAGCTTGGGTTACATAAGTTTTACTTTCTTTCTGCATACACGGGTTTAAACAACAACTAGGCAATAGTTTATTTCACCTATTGCTTAGTTTGAACCATTTGTCTCCCAGTCAAACAAAGAAAATATTTGCATTAATGCTTGGATACATGGACAGAAACTTTCCACTTGTTTTGGCAGCAAGAGGACTCATTCACAATGGTAAAAACCCACTAAATATAAGTGACAACTCCCTTAGCAGGTTCTTAAAATAATATACTCAATAAACTTGAAAAAAGAGCAATGACTCATTGAAGTTATTTTCTAATTTCGAAATATTTTCCTAGTTTTAGTAGTTTGTGGTCAAAAAGCAATACAAATACCCCCCCCCCCTTATTTTCTACCTGGTTCAAATGTATTCCAGTTAGTGTACGTGACACGATCCATTACTCCATTTTTGGTCAGCCACTGGTAGTCTCCAGTACCATTTGTGTCGTGAAAGCTTGTCCATATGTACTGAGCTTCTTCTCGAATGTTTTCTCTAATGAGGCTGTTAATAAATGCCTGTTCAAACCTGAAATGTGTTCAATAACAATGATGTTTGAATAGAGTCACAAAGACCAAAAGATTATCAATTTAAATACAAAGAATAGACATGATAAAAATGTGAAATGATTACCCGTTCCTTATTGTAAGATCACATCTATCCTTAAACATAACCTCTTTATTTTCCACTTTATAGCACGAATTGCCATGTCTCTTCCAATTCTGTAACATAAGAAGTAAAAACCACCCAATCTTTAGCAGCCTTGAAAAACATAAAAAATCTTTAAAAGTTTATGTTCAAAAGAAGACCATTTTTAGTGTCAAGACAAGTATCATGAGTGGCATGCTACAATACTTTAAATATATTAAACACTGATATATGCCTATACAGGCTAAAAAAAATTGTATATGTTTACAGTGATAAACAGACTCTTAATGTTACCAAAGCCATTTGCTAAAAAAAAGAATAGTGTCAGCTGAATGAGATCAATTAGCTACTGTATGGCCTCCTCTCATCTTCAGTCTTATGTACTGTATATTCTTATTTCTCAAGATTTTGCACAGCTTCACGTATATATGTGGTAAAACACATTATTTGATTATTATTAAATTAAGGTAATCCTAATAGACATCCTAAAAGTACTGCTTAAAAACAGTATGTCATCATTATCAAGTGGGAACTGTATTCATGTTTCCAATTTGATAGTTGTACTAAATTGGATTGTTTGGCAGGAATTTTTATATCAACTGTAACCCTTTAGGAATTTCTTTGTACTAAATTTAATTCCCCACACAGGGAATACAGATATCTCAAGAGACCTCTAAACACATATTAAGAAAGCACATTTTTGCTACTCTATACTTACACATGCAAACCGCATCATTCTTTGACTAACTGCAGCTTAAAGTAGAATGCGATAAGTTTAAAAATACACTACCACCTAAACATTTGAAAGCCACAAACGATGCACAAAGGGCTTGGAAAACGGAACAGCATTGCTTATTTTCTTTGCAGAGAGCTCTCAGGCTTATTAAATAAACAGGGATTACTTAGAAAACCACTCTTTAAAAATCATGTGTAGGCTTGGCTTGATGAGAAGACTAAATCCAAAACAGCGCTGCCCCAACCTGCTTCTCCTTGCAGAGAAGTAGAGTTTGCAATGCTGGGCTTTTTATTTTAATAATTTCACATTATCTAGCCATTACTAACAGACATTATCTGGGTTATTAAGTTCCACATTATCAGGATTTTCTTATTCCTTTGATTTATTTCTTGAGGGATATAAAATATTAGGAGGTATCTGCATGAAATCTTCCATGTTAAAATTTGACTCCTAACACCTAGTGCCAAATGCTGCTTGCAGGAAGAACACAGAGAAAATATATCAATGTCTTCCCAAGCTTTTGTGTTATGGTATAATACATTTCCTCACATTCAGATATCAATATCTATTTCTAATAATATACAGTATAAAGCTAACACACTCTGCAATGTGTCCAGGTGGTATAATGTCCTTTGAGAAACATGTACAGTATCACCACAGAAGACCTTTAAAATTTACCTATTTAACTACAGGACACTATTAAATGCATCATTATGTATACAGTTTTATGGAACTACATGAATTTAACAAAATATCAACAGCTTTTTCAAATGATTAATACATGTAGAGTAAATGTACTGTAGCTAATTCATCACTCATCTTGCAATGCTAACTTTTGCTGCTAAATATGTTGGTACAGGTGAAATCTGCTTACCCCTTCTGCCGGGCAGCCTGAGACTGACTCCGATTCATTTACCTCACCTCTCTTTTTGCACACATAAGGTAGCTTCTCATCACACGGTTTGATTTTCCAAAGACCAAGCTGAAGGTTTAAAGGCAGCAATGTTACCCTTGCAATACACTTCTCAATGTTCTTGGCAAGAGCATGTCTTTGGTGAAAAAACCATGTCTGAAATCCTGGTTTCACACATGCTGAATTTGCTTTCATTCAACACATGACACTATACGAAAAGCTAGCTCTTGTACAAGGACACTTTGCACTGTCATGAAACAGTATGACATGATGTTTGATGGTACACTTTTAATTACATTTCCAACAAAGATAAGTTGTATTTTGTCTAGGAAAATTTACTTTATGAAATTTGAAGGTTGTACTGTAAAAACAGAAGAAAATAGAACAAGAGGCAAACCAACATACTGTACCTCTCCTGAATATGCCACACAGTTAGCAGTACTAGCTGAAGGAAGACTTGGTTCATCCCTACTCCAGTATGTGAAGGAAACTGGAGATTCATCACTCCACTGGAACAAGCCTGAATTGCTCCTGAGTCCTGTCCACACTTCCTGTTCAGCATCTGCTCAATTTTTTATCATTATTTATTAGAATGGCAATGCTTTCATGGATAACACAGAACCTCTCAGCACATACTGAATGCAACTAACCATTTAAATATGACTTAAAACACAATGGTGTAATTCACAGTGTTGGGCTGTCAGGACCCCTCTGCTACTGTACTTTCCTTAAGGAACTCTGTTGTAGCTACTGGGTTTCGTTACCTTTTCCTTGTGACTGTTCTTTATAATTATATAGTTTATAGTTTGCCATTGTGATGAGATCAAAAACATAATTGAAACAGGTTTAAAAAACTTGACAACAAAAGTAAGCCCCACCTATTGCTAGCTTCTTTTGTCTAATTTCAAGTAAAGAAACATATAATAAAACCTACTATACTGATTTATGGCAGTTAACAGATAATAAACCATGAGAGGTCAGGAATACCTTTATGGAGTTTAGTGATGATCAGCTCCACATCTGCTAAGGAGTGAATGCTGATTAAATCTCCTCCCCTCTCCTTACAGGAACTCTGAGCATTCTGCATGGTATTTGACTCCTCCACCATCATATAACAGAACCCATTAAATGGAAGCCACTCTTTTTCACAAGTGGTTGTTTTGTACATCCATGGGTCTGCCAAAACATTTTTGAGAAGATAGTAAAAGATTTCACATTACAGTTGGGTTGCATACAACAAAAGAAAAGTAAAAGTTACGCAAAATGGCTCCTTTAAAAGTTGGCAATTCAGCCTAAGAGAGGCCAAGAAGAGAATGGGCAGCCAATGAGCTTATCTGGATACAAATGACTAATTTAGGATGGATTTCATCCATGCATTTTCCTTGAGAATTAGCTTCAGCACTGCATAGTGTTGTACTGCAATGCAAATACATGGCAATCTTTAAATTCAAATCTTTAAAATGCCACAATTGTTACAGCTTTTCTGTTTCTACGTTCGCTTTTAACATACCAGATGCTTATTAAAGAATATGAGCAATATATAGAGAAAATGCATGCATGAACTTTCACTTCATGTCTCTTCAGGCCTGTTGTCAGAACAGTGTCAACGTCGCAAGTTAAGGTCTTCAGATTCAAAGCTCATCAGGTTATATAAAACTAGACTGTAATTAGTGATTTCTAATTTAAATATAACTTTAAAATCCAGTCTACCCACACAAATAACTCAATTTAAATGGGATTTAGTAGTTATGCAGGAAAGTAGTGATTCAAATCACTCACTACATAAAGAAACCTATAGAGATAACCTGTTATTTGTAGCATTGTTAAAAGTTTAAAAATAACATTTTGGAAACAAATTAACTTTTCTTTCCACTTCTCCCTTGCTGCATAAAAAATGATTTCCTGCTATCCTGATGTCCAAATAAGTAATACCTGAAATTTGATTCTACTTATTTTCACAGCCACATGTACGGAGTCCATTTTCAATCTTGTAAGAGATGGGTTAATACATACATATTTCTAGACTGCTAAAATAACAAAAAGCAGTTTTTATTAAAGATATGTTTCCTGATTTGGATTCCCAAAACAGAATAAAGAGCTTACTTATTTCAGTCTGTGATTCATGAATGCGTTTCTTGCAGATGTATGGCAACTTCATTTCACAAGACCATCTCTCCCAGTCACCTTGAGAATTCATCACTCCACAGCTGGACTCTTTTAACATGGATCTCACAGGCATCCCTTACACACAAAAGGGAAAAAAAAGGGAAGAATGTTCAATCACTTCCATAACCGCGAAAATACAACACATTTACAAGAACACAAAACGACCACTGGTTTAAAGCGGATGTCTTTGGCACCCAGTTTGGGTTTTATATAAATTATACTCGTGTCTTTCTTAAACTGAATTATAAAGAATCCATTCAGGCATCTGACTCTTATTGAACAAGTCCAACAATACCCACCACGCACACTGTGTTTTGCAGGCAATGACCTTGTTTGCTATAATGACTCCTTTGTTTGTACAGCTCTGTTTATTGTATTAACAAAATGCAGGCTGTCTGATTACTCAAACATGATTATTTAGAAAGAAGACAGTCTTATAGTTACCTTCATTCCAGCCCACAAACACAAGTGGAGTCCTGTCAGACCACTGCCACCCATGTGACATATCCAGCTGATTTAATCCAATCCAGACAGAATCAGGAAAGTTGCTTTCCACAGCTGGTGAACATAAACACAGATTAAAATATTAGAAACTGTCCTACACAGTGACTTATGATTGACCTTCATTAGCAATGCTGCTAGCACAGACACACACACAGATAAAGTTCTCCTAAACATTTTTCTGTTCAACAATGAAACAGAGTTTGCAAGACTTTTGAATTTGCTTCTGTAAAGAATTCAAGATAACACTTAAAAGTTTTTTTGACTGAAACTGTAAAAGAGCAATCCTTTATTAAGATTACCAGGACTAAACATCCGAACATTGTTTATAATTACTTGTTTGTATTCCAGATGACTGTATTACGTTGCTATCCTATATTAATATTTGAAAAACACAGCTAGACAAACATATTACATTTCTTTTATATTCACAAGAAACAACATGACTTGTTTTTCTTAGATACTGCATAAATTCAGTACAGTGTTCACACAAATGTTTACCCATGCAGAAGATTTTGAATGTTGAAGTATTATACAATTAACACCTTTAAATCATTTAAATTAAGTCAAAAGAATTCAAATATTCACTCTGCGCACTTAGTCGTAGTTAGATGCACATCGCTCTTTAACACATCTATTGTTATTACACCTTCTGACTCAAAATCTATCTCCAGTCTTAACAACACACAGTACACACTGTGGTATGAGTGACCTACTGGCAGAGTCTAAAAGCTAAAAAAAACAAATCCACAATCACAAAATAAATCAGATGGGAATTTCCTTTTGCACAGAAAAAAGCTTCTCACCGTGTAGGGAAGCCTGCTCAGAGGAATTATACATGCTCAGTAAATCCCCTCCTTGACTCAGACATGACACACGAGCATCTTTCCAAGTCAGCGCCGACTGAAAGTTAAACTGGTAGCAGTGTTCGTCCCTCTCTTCCCACAAGACTTTGCATCCTTTTTCTATGAAAAAGTTTAACAGTGATTTGGTGAAAAACTACTCCCAAGATGTTTGAGCCAAAAAAAAAAAAATAACACATAAAGCCGAGAGGACACTTGATTCAAAATGACATTATACAGCAAACTGTACAATGCATTAGCTTCATTTCAAGAATGAAAGTCCATTACAACAGCATTAATAGAAAAGTAGCATTTCTGTGTCTTCTAAAATGTTCTTGGATTGCAAAAATCAATTTAGGCTAGGCACTTGTCAAAGAATGCGGTCCATTAACAACAAAAGGCAATGCTAAAAACGAGTGCAGAAAAGCTGCTAAACTTGAAGTTCTGACAATTTGTAAGGTGTAGTCATACATACAGTAATGTTTTCTAACTGTGTTCTAACTGCACTCCTGGAAAATACAACAATGGGTGGTGTTGGGGACTGTCCTTTCCTTACAAAGAACTCTGCACAACAAATTGTTATATTACTTTATTACTTTCACATTTGATCCGTGAATGAGGAACGGCGAATAGCACTCACCAGGCTTCAGACAGACTCCCCACTTGCCATCTGTATCATAATCTGCAGTGGTGGGGCACCATTCCCTCCCTTCCTCTCTCCCATCGGAGATACAGTCATGATGCCAGGTCCCATTCACTTGAAACGGGAGTTCGCAAGGTGACCCAAAGGAGTTCCCTCTCGTCGTATACACCACTGAGGAGAGGACAGGCAGAGTGATGAACCGACTTCATATTTTGCAAAATGGTAAAAAACTCAGAAAAAACATCACTCAGAAAAAAATGGCTTCTACACCTAACACTGTATTTTAAACAGGTTGAGGGTTTATTAGTAGCAGTATATCCTTACTCCTACAAGTCTCTACATTGGCTGCCTATCAAGTCACATATTCAATATCATGCATAACAATCTTGTGACTGAATTTCAAGGCTCTAAATAAGCTGGTTCCCTCATACATCTCTGAACTCATTCATGTTTACATTCCCTCCCGTAATCTCTGTTCAGTTGACGCTGGTCCTTTGCTCACTGTACCTTGGACTAAATCTCAAACTTTTGGTGAACATGCTCTTTTTATCCCTGCTCCATAATGAGAAACATATTCTTTCACTCTCTTCAAATCACCTTTTTACCAAGACCTATGTCTGACTGCCCTACATTTTGTTTTTATGAACCTGTATGTTCTTGTTTAATTATTTTCTTTTGATTGTGCTATTTTTGTCTTATTCACTATGTATAAAGTCCGAGGCTTGGAAAGGCACTTTAGAAAATAAGATATTATTATGAAAATCTCTCTTTTTTCTTTGCAAGGAACATCTTGAACATTTTGAAACAAAGAGAGGGGGAAATTAGGAACCATACAGAACAAGACAAAATACGTTAAGCTTGTAAAACCAATCAAGCAAGCCTGTCCTTGAATGTTTGCATAACTTAATTTCTACTTGCTTAGGTTTAGTTTTCCACAAGTAGTTCAAAACAAGCTTCATTTATTGTGCTTGAAAAGAAAAAAAAGTATTAAAAAATTCAAAGGAATATCACCAGAACAAGGTTGTAGGTTAGCTGTGCATGTTCTTATGAAAACAGTATAGATGTTGCCTAATATAAACTTAAGCCATCATTATTTTATTCAGGGCTGACAATGTAATAAAAGCTATTCAAAGTTCGAATACAAGGAGTAGTACATCTTCAAGTTTGTGTTCTTTCAGAAATATTTTTTTTTAATTTTCATAATGTTCATAAGTAGATTCATCCATCATAAAACCATAAACCATTTATAATTGTGGCATAATAGTAGTATTTTAACCTGTTAACTGTCAGAATAACTAAAGAATCTTTTTGTTCACACTCTATTGAGCAGAAGTTGAATAAATTAAGAATTATTATTTTTCCAGTTCAAGAGAGTTTTAATCTATGGTGAATGTCTCAACAACCTGGCTAAACAGACTGACCAAAACTGGAGTGAAATCCTTTATCTACAGACTCAAGCCATTGAAGAGATAATGAACAAGAATTTCTTCTCTTTCAGAGTAAACATAAATTGTATGGACAATATGAAAAACACCTTTCTTCAGTTCCTTGTTAAAACCAAACTCCTGTGGCCCCGGAACTGAATTTTTGTTCTAACATTCACTTGTGTCACAGTCACTGGGTGGATCTTTTAGTTTTAATCCTACTAAAAAACTCCCTTAATCTTAAACAAGAAGCAGCTTCTGCCAAAACTCTAGGAATTCCCTTAGTTCTAAATGTTGTTGCTGGAACAGCATCCTTTGCAGATTTGAATTCTAAGAAAGTTTCAAACATTACTGTAAGTGATTACACTCCTTTTTTACAGTGTGGGTACCTAAAAAAACTTTACAAATTTCCTCTAATGTAACTCAACAGTAACAAAACAAGACTTTTAAATAAAATAATAAACGATCTAACTTAAACTATAAATCACTGTGGTACAACAGGCCAATTATAATAGTGTTACTCAAGTATATCATGTTACATTAAGGAGGTGAGTCTCTCAGGTCTTTATTTACTGTACTGGTGACCAGGATACATTCATAACCTGCTAAAAGAAAAAAATATTTATTCTAAATGTTATGAAATGTTTAACTTACAAGTGCCTTCATGTGAAACCATTTAGTGTAACCCAACATCAGCTCAGCCCTGGCACTCACCTTTATAAGGACGCTGGCAGATATTTTCAGAGCTGTTGTCTCTGACCCACGTATCCGTTAAATCACTGCTTGTAGTTATGGTTCCATTTGAAACAGCTAATGATCTCTGGAATACACCATACAGAATACCTCCTCTGCAGCGCCACCATAACATTACTTTTTTATGGTCACATTCATACATTCCAATGGTTTTGCTTGTGGAGTCAAATCCTAGGCACTGTGATGATCCAATGTGAAAAAGTCTGTGTTCGGATCCCCATTTCCACTGAACAGAAGCAGAAGAGTCTTTGCATTCCATTAAACTCAGCTTGGAGTTTTCAGCTTGAAGACACTTGTTGTAGCTTTCATGACGAATTGAAAATATGCCATTATCTAGGAACAGAAGAGAAGACAAAACTGAGAATGAGCTCTTTAAAATCTTTTTCTAAGCAATACATTCACAAATATAGTTTTTTTGCTAGAGTAAAAAAGATACTCTAGAATTAATCCAGAAAAGAGCAATCAGATACATTCCTGGTCTTTAAGAAATTCCCTTCACTGATCGGCTAAAAGAACTGAATCTTTTTAGTCTTGAACAGTGAAGACATCTGGGGGACCTGATTCAACTATTTGCAGCTATTCAAAGGCTTTAGCAAAGGCTTCTCAATGGACTTCTGATAACTAAGCTTATTTCAAGAATTAAATTGAGATTTTTGGATCTCTTTCTACTATAAAAAAACAAATAACAATAGATGGGCCAAATTACCCCTCCCCCCCCCATAAGTAACCATTCTTTTATCGCATAGTGACTTTCAAAATGTAACTCACATTGTATATCTTTTAAAAGTTAAATTACTTTTCATGTACAATTAATAATAAATATTTCATATGAAGTCAATTCACTGATGTGCACTGTGCTGTTAATGAGGCAGCAGGTATTGATTGTGTAGATCTATACTGTAAAATAATGCCAAGGGACAAACAGTACACTCCTCTCCAAGAATCAACCAAGGGGCAAGTCAGTTCCTGTTCTGCCCGGCATGCATTTCTTCAGAAATGAAGAGCACGTTCAGCAATAGACTGATTCATCCACGGTGCGACAGGGAGCGCTACAGGAGGTCATTCTTGCTTTCTGCCATAAGACTGTAAAACGCATCCACCTTGCGTCTGGGCAGAGGCAACATTGACAGTGACCTGTTTCTGGACTGAACGCATCTACACATCTACTGCTATATCTGTTCTCTTTCTTTTCTTTTCCTGTTTACAACCATTTTTTGTGCAATATATGCCAGGGACCTGTGCAATACATTTATATCTATATCTTTATTTACATCTATATTTATATTCATATGTGTGATACGATTTTTCTGTGCACTGTTCTGTTCTAGTTTGTTCTTTGTGTGTCTGGACTGTGAGTAACTCTTTTAGTGCACTCCTCACTGTACTGATTGTATTGTATGTATTGTCCTATGTATGTATTGTATTATTATTATTATTATTATTATTATTATTATTATTATTATTATTAGTATTATTATTATTATTATTGTATCATTCGTTACACTGTGGCTGTGTTGTTTGTGTTAAGCTGCTGTTGCACTGCAATTTCCCTCACGGGATCCAAGTATCTATCTATTCAGATTTGGGTAGGGGGACTGTATAACCCTGTAGGGACTATGTAGATTGAGTTGGGAAAGCTTGCGGTGTATGTTTTAAGATTAGTTTTGAAACCATACCCTATCTTATTTCATGTTTTGAAACTCCCAAAATGAATTTAACTATAACTGACCTCTGGCGCTATTCTTTTTCTTCATTAAACCATAACATGAGACGTTCCTGAGAACATAAGACAGGTTACAAACAGCTGGAGGCCATTTGGCCCATCTGACCTATTTGGTAGTTTATTACTTATTGATCGAAGGATCTCATCCACCTCCCTCTTGAAGATTGGAAAGCCAGGGTATCGGCTTCAACCACATAGCTGGGTAGCTTGTTCCATTCTCCCACTAACCTCACTATAAGCAATGACATATTTTGTAGTGTAATTACACTGGCAGGAGCAAAGTGCAGTCTTATCTGCCCTACTAATCAAGGAATAAGACCACATAACCATATAGTGAGTAAGCCAAATGAACAGAAACCAGGGCTCAGTTAACATTCAGTTTTTCAGATGAATCTTTACAGTGCGCTGTTCATCCTTGACATCAGATCTTTAATTCACTTTTATACTGCTTCTCAAGGACAAAAAAGCAGCAACAGTTCAACTCAGGAATACTGTCAACTTGCTGGATAAAATCGTATATTAAATTGTATATTAAAAACTCAGAACACTGTATAAATCAAAATCAATACATGATCAATCAACACTACCTGAACTACATTTCTAGCTCCAAATGAAAGGTTTTCATATTAAGTAATTTCCAAAACAACATTGACAAATGTTTAGATGTAAATCCCACCACGGCTATCACTGCAGGACTCTTTCTGACTGGTAATTTCAGATGACACTGGCACAGTTCACACCATGATCAAGAGAATTCTATTGTATCACATTATGATGCATGATTGTCCTTGCTTTGTGCTCAAAATATGTGCACTTGCTTCCTTCTATTATTATATTGTTACTGGATTTATTTATGCTGTGCTTTACAATATCCCTCACACTCACATGTGTTTACTAGCATGATTTTAAGAAATACTCAGCTCACATTTGACTCTAAACTTATTACAACCCATTTTTCCCCCCTTTTCGTGGATCAATAGACCACAAATCCAGGGGGGAATTGCATAGAAGCCCACTGTAGTTTGCAGTTATTTTAAAGTTATGTCAAAAGCATGATGACAATTTCAAAAATAATTTTAAGACACTTTTAAAGGAAGGAGAAAGGCCCAGTGCAAGACTTCGTGGCTCCTGTATCTTCCCTTTTTCTCTGAGCACTTGGTTATTTAACTGAACACCACATTAACCTATTTTGTAAAGAAGGCTTTTTAATTGTCTTTATCTCTAAAACCACAAGACATTAAGCAGGAACTCTTCAGAGGAAGAAAACAATGAAAAAAGCATGGAAATTATTATTGAATTATTATGACACCATTAAACAACCAAAAGTCAAGCAGGAATGTGAGCCAATATGAAATTCAGTCGTGAGGGCAGAGAAAGCCCAGGGCTAGGATGAGCCATCCCTGGTGGAGATATCAAGGTGTGAATGAGTTTTATGTGGCTGGATCTACTCGGAGAGGAAGCTTATTTGTGACCGTGAACTATGCGTGTCCGCATTTTGAGCACGAATTAAAAAGAGATGTATCAGACCAGCTACAGTAGAATTCGTTTCAGTCAAGGGTGTCTAATCCTTGTCGCGCACAGCTGCTTTCTCTGCAGTGTTGGGTTCTGGCTCAGCTCTTTACTACCTTGTTCCACAAATTACTGGGTTGGTCAATTGATTAGGACAAGTTTAGCAGCTTTTCGCATTTCTCATGGTGCCGCAGACTTACGAAGCTCCCCTACCCCCAAGGACTAGACAGCCATAATATCTGCGACTTTCCAGAAAGAAATGAGGGTGAATGGAGATGATCGTGTTTGGGATCATACACCTTCTTGTAATGGTGTTTAGCAATTCCACGTTTTAAATACACACAGGTCTTCTTAATAAACGAAAAAATAATAATTGAGTGAAACACGGACATATTACACTGATAACAAATGTTTTAAATCGATAATTATTTTAGCTTTCAGAACGGTGTTATTGATTATGTTGCTTTTAAGAATAAGAACCTGGCTATGGCAACATGATCGATCACAAAAATACTGTATAACAAAAAAGTTACTTTTTGCATTTTCTAAAGTTCACTTTACATTCTACTTTCAAATTTTTATGTTTACGTAGACAGTAGACATAAACCAAACAAAATCTATTCCCGAAAAACAGCAAATGCAGACACTTTGTTCTGTAATCTGTGACTAACAAAATCATGTTATCGGGTTTATTATATATGACTAAGCGATACTGTGTTGCCTCACTGTGTGACACCGAACTGTCTGGGAAATTTTCGAAGATTACCCAATCGCTAGTTTGTTAATTTCAGTTTCGGTTCTGAATTGTTCTTAATATTGGTGAAATCGAATTTAATGAGTGCTGAGACTTTCAGAGCGTCTTCTCTAGACGAAATCTTAGTTTTCCTTACTCTTCAATTTCGGCATGGAGATAACACTGCACAATTCGCGGTTCCTCACATGGCCGTTGCTAGCAAACTTAAGACTTCCGGGTTTTAACTTAAAAAAAGTACATATCTAGCAGGCTAATCCTTAAACCCCCACACCCTTTTGCTGCCCGAAGCGCTGCACCAAAATGAAGTTTCGAATTCGAAATAGAAAGGTGATCACTTACCCGTATCTCCATTTGCTGTACAGGTTACAAAATAAAGGGGCGTACAGCCCAGGAGTAAAAACACAGAAATATGAGCCCTTAGTCTCGGACCCTTCTTCATGCTTATAACAGTGCACCTGCTATACAACCTAAAGCATTAAATTTACAATATATCTGCGCAATAAACCCACCCTTCTCTATGACCGCCAGAGCAGCTGACAGCCCTTATCATTAGTCTCCACCCTTTCTGAAAGCTTACCATAATAAACTAGTCTTCGGAACGCTTTCAACACCCTCCATTGGACGCTTCAACAACTCGTCATGTGTTTCTGTCTTAAAGTGTAGCCGCTTCTCCGACGAAGACGACACTTTTTACTCGAGATGTGGGTTTAGAAATTACTCGAAATGTATGTGCTTATTTTATACTTTGCGTAATATGTTATTTTGATAAATTAGTTTCCATTACTCTTTCTTTCTATAAAAAATAATACCCTTAAAATTAAGGCTTTTAAAAAAAATGAATATTTTCGAAAAGTAAGTGAAATTCTATAGATAACGAATTAGGTGTGCGACAGTACTTTATTCTATGCTTTGTGATTAATACATATTTTAAAAAAGGTCTGAATTGTACCTCAGTGTTAAAAATATACCTTTTTACTAATACTATTGAAAAGAGTGTGGTACAGTGCAGTCTTCCATTTTCACCGAAGAACAAGGCCGTAGTGTTCTTTTATTTTGTATCATTAGGGAAATGTTGATTAATTAGCTATGCTGTATGTCCTTTACATTTCTTTGTATTTAATTTGAGTAAAAAGGCACCAAACCGGAAGAGTTACAGGGCTTGCAGTTCTAATTTGTGACAGAAGAATCTGCAATCTTAAAAAATTGTACAGAGACTGACAGTGAGAGTCACTGGAAAATGAAAAAGACGTGACAGATGAAGCTCTGAAGAGCTAATGTTGCGAGAAATTGCTTTTACTGTACCTTTATAACACAGGTATTTGAGTTTTCTCTGGGTGCTTCCGTTTTCACCCCCAGTAAAAACATACAGTTAGGTTCATTGGGTTTAGATGTCAGTGTGTTTGTCTGTATCTGTGTGTCTGCACTGCGATGGACTGGGTGTCCCCTGCCTTGAGCCCATTGCTTGCCAGGATAGGCTCTGGCTCCCCTGCGATGCTGAATTGGAAGTAATGCATGGCTGTAACACTGGTCTTGTATTTTAGAGCACCAAATGGGATGTTGTGGCTTAACTAACATTTGTCTCCAGCTCCAGTTAGCTCCAGCTACACGGGCAATATCTGTAGGGTTGCTCTTCTTATTTAAGTAGAGCAAAGAGTCTTGGATGCTGAGAAGGAGTAAGAAGAAGACGTATTGTGATCTCAATGAGGCTGGGATCAGTACATTCTTCACTACTGCTACCCTGACCGGAAAAAAAGGCGATGATGTTTGTCATTTTCAACACGGCCCTCTGAATAGAATTGCTGGTGCAGTATTGGGGCAGTAATTTAAAATTGATGAATCCACTCAAGCTCATGTCCTTCTTGGCAAGAATCCATCTGTGTGCTCTTCAGTCTGAACAGTCACCTGGGCTGTCTCTAGGGAAAATGGCACACCTCACCCCTACTAATGGGCACAGGACAGAGCTGGAGGCAGTGCGCATCTTTTTGAGGATATGAGTTATGGTAAGCGTACATCATCGAATATTTGTACAAAACAATTTCAACTTCAAAATGCTATGTTTCATTAACCCAGCATGTCCAATTCAAACATTTTTCAGGTAACCGGTCCTTTCATATGATACACAAAACCATAAGTTATCCAAGATGTTACATTTTAACCCTGTATATGCAGATTTTTTATTTCATTTAACACCTTTTTGACCTTGGTGCTGTGCCCACTTATAAAGCTGGGCCTGAAGCTCACCTGGATATTTGGAACTGGATCTCTCTCCAGCCCCTTCTGGTTTGCTTTTGTCCTCAACACACAACCAGACTTGCTCCTGATAGCTCATCGCCTGCATCATCATGACATGTTTAAGACTATAGTTTTGGTTTAGGAAAGTTTTTAAGCTTCAAGCGCATCCAGAGCAGCTGCAAAAATAGTAGAGAAATAAAAATACATCCACAAAAAGACATTAAAGGAAAACCACCCCACTATAGCAGCATCAAACAGGCCACCCACAGCCACATTTCCAAAACATCTCTCTCTTTCTTGTGAGAGCTTCCTGACCTACTGTATCCACATCCTCCTACTTTTATTTGCACTGACCCTATGTCTCGTTTGCTGTGGCTTGTTGATTGCCGATAACCATTTCTTTAAATGCTAATTCACAGTTAACCAGCAAAAGCCCTTATCACATGCCTTTAAATTATTCCATCTTTCACCAAGTACCAATTGATAACAAATTTTCATTTACAATAACAGCCGTTTACGCAGGCTGGTGTTTAATGGGGCAATTTGAGTGAAGTACTTGTCTCCATGGTACAACGGCAGCATACCACCCAGACTTGAGCTCATCACACTCCAGTCTGAAGTTCAGAGCCCTAGCCACTACTCCATGCTGCGGCCTGGCGCTTAACATCACATCAGATAATTGTAAACCTTAATTAACCATTTACTGCAAGGTTAATTTCAGCCCACAAGGAGCAATTCCTAAATTCCAACTGTGCGGCAGCTGTAAGATCCCATTAATACTATTACACTGAGTGCATACCTTCAAATTCATACACCACAAGCACACATACATCCATCCACCTTTGAAACTGCTTTAGCCAGTACAGGTTTGCAGGGGAGTCAGAGCCCAACCGAGCAAGCAACAGGTTACACCCTGGTCGGGATGCCAGTCCATTGCAGGACACACACAAACACACCCACACTCACACCAGAACACAATTCACCTAGGAGTGATAAAAGGGATATTATAAGGAGCTGAATAACATTTTACTGTGAAAAGAAAAATGAACACATTCAATAGGTTTTTGCTAGGATTGTGTACTGGGAGTGCATTGAGTCCATCTTAACTTAAGATTGTGAGCTAAAATAAAACAGGTTTATCACTGTTTTAATGTGCCTCTGTTTTTTACATTGCAGTGTTTTACAGTGTCTCTATGTCATCAAGTACTGAAAGTACTCAGGGCTGAAAAGAAGAGAGAACTTCTGTATTCTACTGAATAGATTACCATTTTTCACAGTTCCAGAATGAAAAAATTCTATTGGAGTTATGAGATTGCTAAAGCACACTTTGTGCCAAAGAACTATTGTGACACATTACAGAGCCCAAGGACAGATTAAAATGTTATGTATATTTAGTAAAACTATGTACAGAGATTTCATAATATACTGTAAGTCTCTTTGACCCCGTTAAAGCAATCTTAAAAATGCTTAAAAAAGTGTTAGTATGAGGATGAAAGGCAGAAAACGTGCTCAATGTTGATTGGTAGAAAAAGTCATAGATTCATCTTTTAGTGAAAGTGATTCATGAGCCTTTAACATTTGATAAGTATTACTGAAGGCTTTATTTATTAGTTTAAATTCAAGCCCACTTTAATTTTTATATCAATTGCAGATGGCTACTACCGTTCCGTACATTCCATGGTCATTGAATGACAGACTCTTTGAAGTTTAAGCAACCTGCATTCATCAAATACCTGTGCAAGGAAGGATGCACTACAGTGGAGATCCATGGGCACATGATTACTGTGATGGAGAGAGCTCCTTCTCCTTATTTCACATTACACTCAATTAGATTAAATTACTGTATGCTACATTCTGAGACCACTAACATCTTTAAACAGAGTTAATATCTAGAGGACTGACTTTCATGTTCAGAAATTAATCTTAAGCACATTATTTTTTTAGATAAGAAGACCTGAGATAATAAACCTTGAGCATATTGTGCACAAGCCCCCAGTATGGTTAGGTGTAATACTGGCATCATTATTTTCAATTCAGATTTTATTAGCTATTTAAATCTCCATATGGATTGATTTATGTTGGTGAAACTACAGGACCAATCGAAATTCCCATTTCTAAGTATAAGAGTAGAAGCAGATGGAAAGTAAGTTCTGTAGCAAGACATTTAAGGAAGTAAAACATGCTGTCTCAACACTTTGATTCATGCTTAATTTTTTTCACTGGAAAGTGCAACATTCAGAATTTGTCATATAGCCTAGTGGCTTTATAAACGGACAAGTTTTGGTACAAGAGATCTGAATTAAGGCCTTGATTTCACCTGATAAAACTGATTTAGCCTGATTTGTCCTCCATTTTGTGAGATCAGGGTGTATCACTAACCTTTTTGCGGACAGTCCAGTAGAAATTTCTCAAGTCTATTTTTAGCCTAGAGCCCTAGAATTATTATTAAGTTATATTTTATACTTTACCATGTGAACAGCTGTCGTCTCCAACCATCCATTAACTGAATGACGCCTGTGAGGTGGTGAGGATGGGGCTTCAAGCTGTTGCAGGGCCAAAGAGAAAGTGTGACAGCACAATGTACGGGAATGTTTTGTGGTGACAGTAATTTTCCATGGTTCTGAAACTTTTCTGTTTCATCATACAATCTGAAATCCATTCTCAATGAATTCAGATTCTTCCTTTGTAGAAAACCTTATTAAGACCATCTCTTTTGCATATTAATTTCTGCAAAAAGTCATATTCTTGCACTGTGAAAAGTGAACCAAGGTAATGTTTTGCTATGGAGCTGGCCACCTTGCCATCATTAAGCTTAGTGAAAGATTGCTTTCTGGAGTTTGTGTGTTTGCTCCTGTAGTGCTGTTTTTCTAAATGACAAATCTACTCATTTCTAAATTAAAAAGCTCTTCTGTGGGCGGCACAGTGGTTAGCATTGCTGACTTGCAGCACCCCTGTGACCAAGAATTGGGTGAATTCAATTCAATTCTTCTTTATTGTCATTAAACTTACACAGGTGCATAGTATAATGAAAAGTGTTTCTCATTAGTCACTCAGGTGCAGTATATAAATAGGACAGAAGATAAGACAATAGACAGTTACACAATAGCAATAACAGTAACAGAAGCTGTTAGAAAATCCGGCACTGACACTTTTTCAGAGCAAATATCACTTATGTTTCACCAATTAGTTTTTAAACAATAAATGAACTTCATCATTATCCAACAGACATATACTGTAAGTTCATTACAGAGTCCAGGACAAAACAATAGATATTTTTGTAAATACATAATCCATTAGTAATTTACCCAAACATGTATATAAGAAACACCCTAACCCTGCTTTCACAATAGTATAATCACAAATACTGTATTAGGAGTGCTAGTGAAAAGACAACACCCACAGAATAGGCCTTCTATTGATCAAAAATAAAAACCTTGTGGTACTAAATATGGTAATAAAACACACGTACACTCATTTTAACAATTTTATTCAACAGTTTAGATGGGGGGAAGCACTGCAGTGTGTGACTTCATGTACTTTACAGTGAGGCATTTTTATTTTATTACCGAACCGCTCATGGTTGGTGTGGAGTATATACATTTTCTGTACCAATATATTTCTAATGTACCAACACCATTATGACTTAGCTAAGGCTTATTGTCCATATTACAACAAAACACAACACAATGACCAAACATTGGCAAACATACTTTTTCTAATATACTTAAATATTCTGTTGTATGCCATTTTAAATACACAAATGAAAAAATAAAATAAACTCACAAAAAAGTGCAGATTAAGTACCTACTAAAAGATTATTATTTATAATGTTTGATTTCAGGCTTCACGATAATAAAATATCCTTTTGTATTTAATGCACACTTACAAAAACAGTAATGATTAAATTAATTTCCCTGTTCTTTTAAGGCTTGCTTGAAATACAATACTGCTGTAGATAATACCATAGTAAAATATGTAACAGCCCAGAGATCAAACTGGCACTAATAGCTCCATAAGTTGATTGTGAAAGTAACAAGGGATAAGCAGTGCTCCCCGCCAGTCACAAATGCAGTTTCCATGTTGTACATTGGTTGATATTGTGAACCAGCTGTTCCAACTTTATGGCACGTAACAAATTTCACAAATAAACATAATTTGGCAATATTTCTTTCCTTTTTATAGTTACCTACCCTAGTGTCCTAGCCCAGAACAAATATTTAATTGTATCTGCCTTCATTCTTATTATATTTTATAAAAACATTAAAAAATATATACATGTATTCCCATTTTTTGTTCCAAAAGAAGCATAGCCCATTCCTATATATACTTCATCTTCAATATACTGCCATTATATTGCTTGTAAGTCATTACTTTAGACTATTGAAGTAATGAACATTATTTGGACTTTAAACAAAGAAGAAAATTAAACAGAAAAGCAAGAAAATGCTGCCTTTTGTCTTCCTCCAAAAGAAATCTTGCATATTGAATTAATCTGCCTTAGGCAACTGGATGAAATATAACAATAGTAGTCTTAAATTTACAGGTGCAGCTTTATTTTCTTACCTTATTTGCTAGTTACATCTATGCCTAAACTTTAACAGTAACAAGTTTTTGTTTTTCATATTGCTTTAGGATCGGTACTTATCCTATGTCAAATGTTTCAAGCAGATTCATCCTTTTTGTCACTGCCACAGTTTTCTGCAACCGATTATAACCTCAATTTGAAGGTCTTTAAAGGAAATCCTACTGTCCAGTGTTTGAGTCAAAGTCTGTAATAAGAATACTTCCATCTGAATCTGTAGCTTCTGAACCTGCTTGATGGTAGTATGCATTTCCAAATGAAGAAAGCCTTCTGAACCGTACCACATTTCTTTTATATACACACCAAAGTGATCCTACAAGCACCACAAAAATCAGTATTGCCACTAGGACAGCAACTGGAATCATTCCTTGATGCACACCTGAAACAGAAGTGATTCGAGTCACACTATATACTATCTACAGCAATAACTAAACACTGTTTCCTCATGTATGTTTATGCATCATAGATTATTCAAAGTAATAATCTGGAATCTTAAAACTGTAAATCATTAAGGCTTAAATATTTATTTTATTACATCATTTTAACACTAGACATTTTTCGGTTGAAAAAAAGTGGCCAAGGTTATTTATCCCGTCTAGTCTTTTGAGACTGTGGTGAGGACTTGTAGATAGTAGTGAGATCTGTTTCAGGCTCTCTCTTGTGAAGTGAAGTTTGCACTTTAACCATTGAGAGAAAAATCAGCTTGATCGCATTACATAATTACGTCAATGCTTTTAAGAAAGGATGTCTATTAAATATTAAATAGATATTTTAATTTCCTCTAAGCAAGACCATTACAGTATGGAACAAAATGAATCTTTAAGAAATCTAATGTAAAAAGAACATTTAAAGCTCAGCTAATGGGAACAAAATATATAATACATTTTCATGTCTAGATTTACTATGGTAAATTAAATTTAGTTCAGCTCTAATGTTGCCTATGAATACTTACCTTTTAGTGGCTCAATTTCTATTTCATTGCTTACATCTGCAAATAAAGCAAAAAAATAAGTAATCTGCTTACTTATTTCTACATTTGCTCAATATTGTTACATTCTTTAAAGAAAATGTAGCACCATTTGTATGTTTTTTCAAGTAAGGTTGGGATTTACAGTACATTTCTATATTAATACACTTTCTTACTATACATTGTTTAAAAATAGTCTACTGTGTCATGTTATGATCTAACCCATTAGTAAAAAAAAAAGACAAGTTTCGGAAATATAAGTCAAAAACAGAAATTCTGCAAGAACCTCGACCATTAACCTGTCATTAACTGAATTCCCTGCACTACTTAAATGACACTTCAATACAAGATTTTCATGTGTCTCAAGGAACAACTGCATCTAAAATATTCTTGAGAAAGAGGGTTGAAACTGGAACAAATAATTAATAAAAGCTTTTAACTTTAAGCATACCTCCATGTATTTTACAAATAAATCCTAGTTTCTCGTTACAGTGGGATAACTGCCAGATGCCATCAGAGAGCCGCACAGAAACACAGCTATCAACGGTAAGAATGTCTGCTTCTGGGCCTTTTCCAAAGGGCCAGTTTGAATACTTGATTGGAGAGCCATTGAACCATTCTAAGGCATCATCTACAAAAAAAGAGATCAAGAGTTAATGATAAAGTTTGGAAATTTAAGTGTTAATGTCCTGTGTGTACATTGGGATCAACAAAGTGTTGTCCACAGGCTTAGTGAGTACCTGACAACTGGCTGTTGGTTGCTTCATACTGTTAGGTCATGAAAATCATTAAAGGTTTATAAATGGAAACACGGAGTCTGTTTTATTTTATGGTACATTAAATAAGGAAAAATAACTTAATGAAATAAAAACAGAGACAGAAGATTTCTCAGTTAATATATTAAGACAAATTATGTTTTTAAGTAGGAATGGTGGAATACTGTATGAAACTCTCTACATTGGCTGAGGCAGTAAAATTAAAATGACATCTTTCTATTGGATGATGTGTAATAAGATCTCTTTTGTCACCAATTTGGATTAAATGTCTACAGATCAACTATGTCTTGTTAATTAATGTTAGGATGACTTGTAGTGTTTAGTGATCATTGTTATCCTGGTACCCCATGCTTCCATGGCAAAACAGGACCTTTACAATAGGTTTCAACAGATCAAAACTATTACAAATGCAATAGGGACTTGAAACAGGTCATCTATGAACAGAGCAGTTCACAGTGTTTCAGACTATGGTTTGCGGTGCTACAGGCATTATAACAAATCTTTCCTCAGAAAGGAAAATACTGAACAGGAATAACCAGGTAGAAAAAACATGCTTATTTCCCAAAATGGGAATGCTCACTCCTACACAGTCAGGAGTAGGTACACACAGGTATTTCTTCTTGCTTACAACGTTTATGTCTAGACTGCTATAAATCTGATATAGAACCAGCTGAACTTGGTAAATAGCAAATAATATTTACCTATGATTATCTATAAATATTTATGAATTGGCTTCATTACTCTGTTCTCCTCCCCACTGATAGCTGATGTGTTGTGAGCATTCTGGCGCACTATGGCTGCCATCGCATCATCCAGGTGGATGCTGCACATTGGTGTTGGTGGAGGGTAGTCCCCATTACCTGTAAATCAATACTTACTGTCAGTGTCATATGTAATTCCAAGCCAAACTGTCTGATGTGGTAATTCAAACGTCTTTAATTCCTCAAGAACGAATCTGTTCTCCTCTTCGTTTTTAATGGTCAGTATGTCAGAACCATTTGCTGAAAAATAAATATTCAGTAACTCATCTATAGACTTTACATAAGCATCATTAGAAGGAATGTAACAAAAGACTTGTATTTCAGGCTTTAGAGTAAAGCTGTCACTCAACAAAACATAAAAATAAAATGATAGCTAATATCTGCCAATACTCTGTAGAAAAATATGTTTGCAACACATTCTTAATCATGTCCATCTGCTACACTAAATCTATAGAAATTACATTTGGTGGTTTACATGACAATGCTAGTGCTAAATTACAATCAATGGGTTTAAATGTTTTTTTTTATTTCAATATATGAAAGATAATATTGCTAGCAATACACATAATGTTCATTGCAATCTCAGGTTTCAGTGAGTGGCTTTTTAAAGCCTCAGAGTTTGACAGGAATTGTACTGCCTCTGACATACTGCGCAAGGAAGTAAACAGCTCCTGGGCTGCAATAAAAATATAATTCAATTTACAGATCACAAGATGCATACGAATTCATCATTAAACAGAACAGCATGCTGGAGCCTCTGGTATATGTTTTTGAGTAACTTTTCCATTTCCATATACTGTAAAGTATTCTGCAGTCATAACCTGACCTAAAAACAGGAGACAATGCTTTATGTCTTTGTAACAGTGGCTGACATCACTCTTTCCAGCCACTCTTCAAAGAATAGCAGGGGAGGACATACAAGTTCATGAACTTCTTGAGGTGTGGGTTGAAAATAATCTCCTTTCCCTTTCATCTTGTGACTACATAAAGCTACAGATATCTATGATACATGATGCTATCTGTAAGACAATAGAATTGAAATTCACCTTAAATTTATAGGGAAAAAGACACAAGGTAAATTTCTGAGACATTCTGTATGACGAAGCACATGGTTATTTAAACCCAAAACCTAATAATGTTAAATACACAAATGCTGTATCTGTATTGTATCTCTCAAATGGTAGGGGTTTTTCAGTCTTGCCCGTTACATTAGTTCACAGATAGAAGGAATATGCGTAATGAGGATCCAAAAGATTTCAGCTACAATTCTGTTAACTCCTAGAATCTTGAACCGCATTCTAACTCTAGTTAAAAAAGGTTTAAGAATCGAAATACTGAAATATTTTTCTGTACTGTATCTGTACCGACTCATGTCTCATCTCAAATGATGTACTTACAGTAAGTAGTGTCACATGAAGAAAGAATTACTTAGATTATTTAAATTGATTTAAGATATCTGTTATGTAATCTTTGATCTTTACTTTTAACATTTTATTGTTATGATTTTGATAGTATTCAAGTTAGTCTGGTCACTGAAAATAATGAATATGTCTGCCGTAAGCTTTCTGAATATTAGGTCTAACACTAATTGACCTTGCATTCAGTTTTAATGTAATTTGACCATGAACATTAGCTCTGAAATTATGTTCTCAAATTATGAGCCTTTTTAGACATAACCAGTAGTCCACAACATTCTCTAAACTAATCTACAGTCTCTAAACAGTTCTTACCCTTATCTTATTTAACTGTTGTGAGAACAAGAAGCTATAAATAAAAACACATTCTAACTAAATGATAAAAATACTATATATAACAATATATTAAACTATTTGCATAAATATTCCTGCAATGACAAATACAGTGCCTTGCGAAAGTATTCGGCCCCCTTGAACTTTTCAACCTTTTGCCACATTTCAGGCTTCAAACATAAAGATATAATTTTTTTATTTTA